TGGTGGGAAGGCATTATATCCATAGACTTCTCACTTACATCCACTCAACTGCATCCAACCGTCCAGGTTTTTAATGGATTCTCATTGTTATGAGCTCTGTAAATTAACCTTGCGTCTGTCAGGCATTAGATTAGCAGAGGCGATAACATACTGTATAGAGTATAGACAGACCACAACTGTATACAGATAAGATTCCTCTCAGGAAACAAGAATACTTAACAATAGCAATATGTGTGTGGAGACTGAGACAAAATAACATGTTCTAATGCATGTCAACATATTAGAATTTGATGCTGAAAGGTTTCTAGGAAGAAACGCACTTGTTCATTATTAGTATGTACATCCCGATAAAGTGTCTATATAAAGCAAACAGAGCACTATACCCCCTCTCCCCTACAGAAATATGACAAATTATGATTCACTGAATCGTTTATTTTTTTGGACAAATTTTTGCCATCTTGTTTGATTTTCAAACGTTTTGGCCTCTTTTATATCATTGGTGTATACCGCAATCGGCATAAATTGTTCATAAACCCTGCATGATAGATTTCATGAACTGTATACATCGTCACTATGGGAACCTCATTTGCCAGTAAAAATATGATAATTGGTTGTTTACCCTTCTATCTGGCAACAAAACTGACACCTTTTTACAAGGAGTCATGTTTGCATAGAAGTTGATTGGTCCACACCCGAGACAGCTTTCCTTAGAGCCTAGTCTCACATGGGTTGGACCAGATGACGCCAAAAGGCGCACAACTTCAAGGACAGTGCACATTATCAGAGTTATGTTCTTTTGTTTGTATTATGACTGCAGGTATTGCGGTCAATGCAAACATGACTCCTTGTAAAAAGGTGTCAGTTTTGTTGCCAGATAGAAGGATAAACAACCAATTATTGTATACATCGTATGAGAATGTATTTAAGTCTACGAATAAATGCATGACAATATGCCCATTGCAAATGTTGCCTTTTTAAATGTTATTGAATGGCCATAGTTTCCTGGCAATAGAGCAGCAGGGTTATACTAGTAGGAACCTCCTAGTTACACCAGCCCATAGGGGATTATTGTGTCCGTCGTGCAGGGAGGGGTGGGTGGGGAGGGAGGGGCTGGGTGAGGAGGGGAGGGTGGGGAGGGGCTGGGTGGGGAGGGTGGGAAGGGGCTGGGTGGGGAGGATGGGGAGGGTGGGGCTGGGTGGGGAGGGTGGGGAGGGTGGGGCTGGGTGGGAGGTGGGAGGGGTGGGTGGGGAGGGGCTGGTCACCCCGTGGTGCCCTTATAAAACTCAACGTTTAACCTACTCACGCCGGCTTGTGCCCGCCCTCACAGTCGGGCATATTTGCGGAATACACCACGCCGCCGTTGACCCTGGCCATTTACCGAGCAACCCAATGTTCCTACCAGCTCCCTCCGCAGGAATGTGTTACTGTCCCAAAGTCATTGAAACAGTTATACAGATGTCATTTTTCGATTTAAAGCTTTCCTGACTGCAGGGATTCATCTTCTTGGTTCTTTCGGTAAAGTCACGTAGAAGGAAAATAATAAAATAATAAAAATAAAACATAATAAAATAATTCTCACGACGTTTCGGCCACAACGCAAGCAGCCGTCTTCAGGTGGAGAACAGGTCTGTCGAGAAGGCAGAGTCTGAATGGCACGCCCCAGGCTTGAAGACGGCTGCTTGCGTTGTGGCCGAAACGTCGTGAGAATTATTTTACTATGTTTTATTTTTATTATTTTATTATTTTCCTTCTACGTGACTTTACCGAAAGAACCAAGAAGAGTTGTCATTTTGCTTAACTGCCACAGAACAATTCTGCCATTGTCCTTCTTCTTACTCTGTGCGTATATTATACTGTGTATGTAAAGTGCGATTCTATCTGAGATGTTAAACCTACTAGGGAATTGACAGCTTAGTTATGCTGTGGATGCAGCACATGTCCATTGCTAAGATAAAGTCTCCCAATTCAAACAGCACTGGGTTGTGGCTCATCTCTATTGGTAGTAGATCAGAGCACGTGGTGGAAATGGCACATTACTAAGATGGGCGCCATTTTAGTGGGACAATATATTGAGCTGGCGCTTGACTGGCATTTGAGCATTGGTTATACCATCATATTGCTGCGTTGTAGAGCCAAACAACATGCATGGTGTTTGTGTTGGGATGAATAGAATAGCCCTGGGATTCTGTCGCCTGCAGTGCCATCACTTGAGATGGATGTCCAGTGTGGCAGTTATGCACTGACTACTGAGTAGTAACTTAATAAGCCATGATCTATCTACTATTGGACCAATGCCTCGTTGAGTCATCACAATCCCTCACAGTCTCAATTAATCTCACTTCCGGAACGTGTGCTGATCTCATCGCTCCATCTCTGCAGTGGTTTTCTTCTGGAGCATGCTTTTTCCCCTTTGGATGCCATTCTATCAGTGGTCTCCTCCATCTGATATCATGCCTTTCTAGCAATGTGTCCTGCCCAAACCCACTTTTCTAACAGTCATCATGAAGTTTCTATTCCATCTCTTAGGTGTCTTCCTGCCTTTAGTTGTCTGTTGTGACTGTCGCAATTGGTTCTGATCAGTGGCGGCCCCTGCAAAATCTCTCAGGGGGGGCAAATGTCTGGATGATTGATAAGGATAAGGTCCACCCATGCAATGGATAAATTAACAGCTTAAGCATGTAAAGGCAACTTCACCTCTTCAATATTAATGAAAAATAAAGTGACTCTTACAATGCATCTTGTTTGTTTATATACTCACTATTAAAACAAACCACTCAAGTTTATTTTATTAAAGATTCCACTAGGTGGCGATAAATTATATTGTTGGATGAAACGTGCTTACGTATGATGACGTTAGCACGTATGATGACGTAAGCACGTTAGTGCATGCCCTCCCGGAAGCCATAGAGAATGCATTGGAGCGCCCGCCGTTCGAAAAAAAACATCTTTGAATGTAAGTCTATGGGGCCACTCGGGGCGATTCTCAGCCGGAGTGAAATCGCCCAAAAAGAGGCGGTAGTCCACAGAACGTGACATGACGCTGATTGGACTATATCCAGAGGCACAGTGACGGCTAGCGTGACTCTGTGGTTGAATGACATTGGTGGTGCGTCGCCCAATCGCCTTAATGAAGAAACCGCCCCTGGTTCTGATATTATAATGGAATACATGATGCGGCATATCTATTCCGTACTTATTTTATTGCGGTAGTTCGGCCAAGGATACATATACCACTTTAACAAGAAGGCTTAATTCCCCTGCCAGAAATCCCGAATGTAAGCATGTACTGTACAAATTTTCTCAACTTCGATTACCATGATTGGCTACGTAGGGTGCAAAAGAAGTTCCGCATGGATACTGTAGTACTATTTTTTTGAACATCATAGAAGTGAGGCCAATACGGCCAATTGCCACTGTGGATAAAAGAAGTGGACTCATAATTAAAAAGTTGCACGTTCCTATTCCGAGCATTAATCCCCAACTGGGACTTCTGTGTGTTGCATATGTTACCCACAGTGCCACCAGGCCAGAATAACATTGTACATATACGTACTGCACTACATTCATATCAAAGTGAGTCTCTGAGCATGTCCACACTTGTGAATGCCAGTGTGTGCGTATGTGTGTGTGGACATTACAACGTTTAGCTGTGTAATCATGATGAGACAATAACGGTCACAACAAATGGATGGCAGTAGATAACCGGACAAGTAACTGACCTCTTGTATTTGCAGAGTCTAGTTGCATAAACACTGCTGCTGTAGGGTATATTTGCCCCCCCCCCCCCATCTTCTGTAATTATACTGGCACATTTTCTCTGTGAGTGTCAGAGCAGACGTCTGTGGAAGATTCACACACACACATTACAATGTGCACAGTTTAAAGTCTCGCATATTAATAAAAAATAGTTTCATAAGGCAGAGGTGGCCTACTATAAATACTCATCCAGCGTGTACATTTAATTTAACCCTTTTGAGGTTTTGCAACGCAAACCGGGGGTTGAGTGGTGCTGCGGTTAGAGATTCACAATCAGTTGGTTGACTTTAAATGCCCACAGATGGCTAACTCAGTCTATCGTCCCTCTGGGGCCATACATTAAGATGATCCCCACCTTACACAGGGATACACTTTACTACTTTAATGTAAATGAGACGATATATAAAAAACAAGCTACATTTTCAACAATACAAGTATGTTAATGTTACAGTGTGTTATTGAATCAATCTACCCAGTAACAATGAATGCTCTATACTGGTCCTGCCTTATATACGTGGAATTTCCACCATTGACTTAATGCCACCAATGAGGATGAGCACATCCAATGCTCATTTGAACATGGGTGCACTTCACGTAAGGTACGAGTACTGTCCACGCATTTACGCAGGTTATAAGCGAAATGCAAGTGATGTGGATTTTGTCAACTAAGGTTCAAATCGGGCTGTTGCCGACGTTCTGAGCATTACTATTTTTGCGAGAAGTAAAACTTGGTGTGAATGTATTGTGTTCACATAACGTAGCTGAAGACGATTTTAAGCAGCGGTGAAGTACTTAAGTCAACCAATTAATCATATCTCCTTGATATTTGTTTATTATTGTGAAAATTATTACACAGAACGCTACACGTCATAGCATCTGAATCTGAAAATACTATACACAAAAAAATAAATGTACATTGATAACCTTTAACACGTTCTATTTTCCCACCCAATACATTGCACAACAGCATATTAAATCTGACCCCCCCCCCCCCACGTTTGTTACGTTACTGCCCTTGCTGATGGTGGCCCAGCAGCAGCGGTGGATGTGAGTCACTGCTGAGTGCTGACCGGGGCAGAGAAAGAGAGAACCACACGGGAGAGGAGAGGGAGGGAGGAAGGGAGGGGAGGGAGCCCACGGTTTGTCTCGCATCAGCCCGGCTCGCGTTGCGTCAGCCCTCCAGCCTCCACCACCTCCTCCCCTCCATCCACACACCACCACCTCCTCCTCCTCCTCCCCTCCCACTAAAGCCTTTGCTAACACTGCCGCACACACACACACGCTCACACACATATATATAAGGCGACGGTGCCGTTTAGCTCTTGCGCACACGCCGGAGACGGGAGAGAAGAGGCGAAGGGAGCTTTGTCATTTCTCCGGACGAGGGACATTTGAGGGTTTTCGAGTGCAGGAGGGCTGACTGACAATGTTGGCCGCTCACACCTTCGTGCGGAGATTGTCAGCCGGCAGAGTGAGTTGACGCGCGTTTCTTCTGTATGGACGCGGCTCATGTGGTCACTGACGCACCTGCGTATGTGCGGTGTGTGTGTGTGTGTGTGACATGCGCGTCTCGTTCGTGTGTGTCTGTGTGCGTGCGTGTGTCCTTATGCTCCGTTGTACACAGTTCGCAAATGTACCTTCAGTCCTATGTGTGTGGTGTTGGGTAATTCGAATCGAGCGCACTGTATCTGTGTGTATAATACAACACGTGTACGTCGCATGCGGTTTTTTGGGGGGGCATGTGCATGCTAGAGTGACAGCGCATGCAGCAGTTGTACGCGGTATATATGTAACCATGAAATCTGACGTTACGGTGACATTGTTATCGTCCGCTGGATAGACTGGCCCCGCCATGGGAATGTGGAATTTCCGTCACTGGCGCCGTGCAATCATCGTAGACGGGCGTCGTCCGTGCCTGTCGTTCGGTTGGCCATATCGGTGGGTGGGTGGGTTGGTGAGATGTAGGGGACACTTTGTGACTTGCCTTGAACTTGTTGTACTGCACTGTGAACATGTGCACTGAAATGTACGTGGCATTCCTGATTGCATAATAGTTGTGACTCTCGAGAGAAACTCCGTACTAAGTTTGTAGTCGTGAGCCACTGGCAATTCTCCCCCTTTTGGCTTAATTTAACTCCCCCCCCCCCCCCCCCCATGTGTAAAACGGATGCATGTCGCTGCCGCAGCTGCGGTATACCATTACATAATACACTGACCGGATGCATTTAATACATTGTTAAATGTACTGCTGTGTTTGGGTAGGCTCGCTCACTGTTTGGTTTGTTGCTGTTACAATACTTGTAGAAGTGTACGGTATTTGATTTTAATCGTGTGGGATCGCAGTTGATATATTTAAAAAAATTGTTGGCAAGTTCTGATTGTGTAAATAAGTGGCATTAAAATGTGATGTACTGAAACCCCGCATACATAGAATACAACTAATAGGAATGCAGCTTGTTAACAGTATGTATTCATGGTCAAGACGTCACAAACAGTCTACAATACTGTTACAATTGTAGGCAATTATAAACACTTGTGTATTCATGTATGCTGTCGATATACACATATAAACAATTTAATAGCACGTATTTGGTGGTGTATATGTCCCGTATTATACGATGCATACATATGCCGTGTAGACGTAGTGTACAATTCCAACAATATATAAACTGTGCGGTTTAATAGACCCGTGTCCTCACCTGGAACACCTGGTGTTTGTCATCGCATGTGCTGAGGACTTAATACAAATGAGGGTCCTCCTGAGAAAATGTCTCTTGGAGAAGCACCGAGGCTTTCCTGCTGTGTAAATTAATCGCATTGTTATTTCCCTACAGCGTAACGAGCTACAACCCAATCATGTTTCGGTGAATGATAATATTAAACGGGGACACGTATCACAAGCAAACATCTGAGACTACATACGTATTGACATGTGGAAGTGTGACATTTACCACAATACCTCTGCTAGTCACGCAAAACAGGACCCTGCGGGGTGGGCTGGTAGGAATAATACTTAGTACCGGTACAGAGATATCGACTGGGTATAGAGGAGTTAAAGAAAAAAATACTGTATTCTAGTGTAACGTTAATTAAAAGTGTTTGTTTTGACAAGAAACGCTGTGAGATTTAAAGACTCGTAGTCTTTCATTTCCAACACCACCCTCAACACCACCCCTCCCACGGACGAACGGACGGACGGACGGACACATTAATCTATTGGTGGTCTGGTCCACTTCGTTCCTACCAGTATAATTCCACCCCTCCCTCTCCCCGTGAAATTGTGGAAGTGATTATTTAAAAGATGCGCATCGCTTCGGGTATGTACGGTAGGGGTGGACTGCGTGGGTCTTGTGGGCTAATGCCCCGCGTGTGGCTCTCTGCGTGCATTCGTCACCGCCACCGCCAGGCAGTGTCACCACGGACAGCACAATCGCCACCCACACGGACACACCGAGCCTGTGAACACAGCCACGCGTAGCTAGGCTGCTACGCAAGATGCAAGCCGATGCGAGGGTTTCCTACACTCGCCACACAACTAACTGTAACCTCCAGCGCACTTAGCATTTGTAAAATGATGTGATTCTAATAAGGATGTAATTTCCAATCTTATGAGCTCTGCTTTTTTGTGTCATCTAAAGCCCTCTTTGGTAAATGTCAAATGCAGTGTCAAGGATTTTTGTACTTCACTGCCCATCATGAGTCCTTTGAAATACAAGTGAATCCCCATTAAGAAAATTCTGGAGCCAAAGTATGTTCATTTTCAGTTGTCAAATGCATCTTCATTGGCAGTCATCTAAGCCAGTGGTGGAAACTCCATATTCCTATGACAGCTGCGGAGGCGAGGAGGGTTGGTGGAACGCACGAATGTTGTGAAACTCCCATCCCGTGTGTGTCGTGGTGCCGGTCCCTGGCTCGCCAGCATAATGCACTGTAAAGTGTGGATTAATCATTCCTAACTTTGGAGCTTTCTTGACTGCAGGAATTATTCTTTGGTTCTTTCGGTAAAGTCACGTATAAAGAAAAAATAATAAATTAAATAATAGCATACGACGTTTCGATTGCAACACAAGCAATCATCATCAGGTATAATGAAATAGCGACATAAAATATAACCAGAAATAATTATAGACAGACATATAAGCAGACAGATATCACCAAGATACACAGAGCGGGCAACACACGATCACCCCTCTCTGTACCTGTGTTGCCCGCTCTGTGTATCTTGGTGATATCTGTCTGCTTATATGTCTGTCTATAATTTTTTTCTGGTTATATTTTATGTCGCTATTTCATTATACCTGATGATGATTGCTTGTGTTGCAATCGAAACGTCGTATGCTATTATTTAATTTATTATTTTTTCTTTATACGTGACTTTACCGAAAGAACCAAAGAAGAATTAATCATTCCTCCCTTCTGTATGAGCTAGACCAGCGGTCGGGAACCTATGGCTCGCGAGCCATATATGGCTCTTCCGGTGACGGCATATGGGCTCCCAGAAAATTTTGAGTTGAAAAAAAAATAAAATCAGTTTGGAATGATTTTAAAATACTTGTGATATTGCTTAATAATACTGTGTCATTTTAAAGTAAACAGAAATTAGTTTTGAAGATAAAATTTCACGGGTCACGGGTCCCGTGACCAGAAGTCACATTTAAAGTAAGACATATTTAATTTATTATACGTTAAAATACTATATGGCTGTCAATGAAATATATTTAGAAATATTTGGCTTTTATGGCTCTCCCAGTCAAAAAGGTTCCCGACCCCTGAGATAGAGTATTGGCTCCACTCAGGCATATGTTTTCTACGGTTGCTCCAGTTTCCATAGTCATTAATTTGCTGGAAACATCTTACTCTATTGAGGACTGCAGAGCTTGGACACTTGTTGGCACCGGCTCACTGCCTGGCTGCATTCCCACTCATCTGTGATTCCTCAATGATTGTGAGATGAAATTTTCCTGAACGATTATATTAATAATAATACAAACTAAACAAACAAGCACCGCTGACAAAACTATGTGATTGTTCGCAAACTAATGCTTATTTTACCCATCCTGGAGGGCAGGTTTGAACCTGATCGGGATTTTAACTCACACTCTTCAGAACACCGAGTATACTCTACTAAATGAGCCATGACACAGTCACGTGGCATATACACTACTGTACTGTACTGTTATTATTATTTGTCGTGACAGCTCGGCCTGCCGCATACCCCCCCCCCCGACCCCTTGGCTCCTCCCCCCCCCCCCCTTAGTACCCTATATAAACACGTGTCTCTAAATAGCTCTCTTCATACGCTAAAGTAATTTTGCTGGAGCAGTCACACCTGATGACGGATGCTTGTGTTGCTTCCGAAACGTCGTGATTGAATTTAGTTGTTTTATTTTATTTTGTTTTCACCTACGTGACTTTACCGAAAAAACCAAAGAGCATGACAGCACTGTTTTATTCATGATACTTACGTCATATGGGTTCATGTCATTCTGAGAGTGATTACACTGCAGTATTGTGAGAGAATGTGGTGGCATCCTACAGTGCGTTGGCCAAGAGTGATTGCGATGATCCGTTGTTTAGGGTGGCTTATTCTGCCATCACAAGGTATTTAATTGGAAAAAAATCCGCGGTATATGAAAAAATCCTGTATAAAATCACCAAAACCAAATTATATCGTTACAAATATATCTGTAAATATATTAAATGTTACTGATTTCTTTACAAACGGTACAAACTGTAGGTTAAAACTAGTGATCTGGCAACACAGATAGAATAGCTTTAAAACGCCAAATTTATATTCATGCAGCAGGTCTTTATTGGTGTGTTTGTGCGCGACTGCTTGTGTGTGTGTGAGACTATTCAACCGCAAATATACCGCAGTCTAATATATCACTGTCACCAAAACGGCGCACAGAATTCTAAAAACGAACCCTTGCGATGCAGCGGACCGACCGCGTGGCACATGCCTCGTAAGCTGGCAATGACATGCGAAATACGCTGCACTGTGTTGTGGCGATTCATTCAACACTCATCAGCATTCATTGATGACGACCATGATGGTAATTCACCAACTGTCCAATAATTAAATCCGGGCTAAATTATATATCAGCTGTCTATACGCATTGATTATAATGTGGTCAGTTTATAGAGCTTCATATCCCGTATAATTAAGATTCTTCCGTCCGGCTAAATATAACAAAGTGCTTGGTCAATTATTGACCTCCATTGATCCAATTATATGCTAATGTTCTGACTTTGCAAAAAAACTTTTGTATGAAAGTAACTACTATGTACTTATTATTTTGTACGTAGACATTGAGCACAATAAGAGAGAGAGCAGTGATTATTTGACCAGGTGAACAACGTTACGATAAATGATCTATATGAATTTTTTCAGGAGAGCCATTGCAAGGGGTAATGCACTGCATATTTATGTTTACCTTTTACGTACGATATTATGCAGACGTTAGATGTTGTATAATATACATTTGCAATAAATATGGTATAATATAGAGGAATACAGGCGTTAGAGAGCTTTAAAGGGGTTAGGTTGCTCATGTGAAATTGGTGAATATTTGATCATTATAAACTACCATAACCCCTCTGTTAATCAATATGAAGCGATATATTTTTGCCAAGTCAGGTTTTAAAAAGTGCAAATGATTTCCTGCTCAATTGAGTGTGGATCTGTGCTCTCATCTTTTTATAAATCCTGAGCTGGTGGTGGAATTGCTAAATTCCTAAGTAAACTACTGTTAATATTCTCACAAAACGGTTCTCATTTTTATTAACCCCAGAGAAATTGAACCTTCAGCCTTACAATTGCAAGACAAACATCACAGATTCTATTACTGCAGCACCCGGCTATTTTTTGTTTGTTATCAAGATGCACATTTATTTGTTTCCACGTTTGAGATGGAGAGCAAAACTACTACTTCATCTTAATAACGAATCATTTTTTTGATTGGACAGATCTTACTTTGATTGCGCAAAATTTAAATCTAAAAAGAATATGGACATTACAAGAGGTTTTGGGATAATCTTCTAGACAGACAAATAACCTTGTACCAATACATTTTTATATTATTCCTGATTCAAAATAAATTCACCGGCACACATTTATGTACGCACCTTTCAATATTTAAAAGACTCGGTGAAAATCATCAGTAAAACCGGACTGACCACAAGGTTCGTCAGTACTGAGATTTCAACTTAGAATATTCCGAATGAGAGTGCTGCAACCACAATCTCACCAGCTGGGAGGTAAGACTTTGTGAGACTCAAATTATGGAAAAATGTATAGATCATAAAAGACCATGTATTGTGCAGTATTTCGCATGTACTGTATGTTGAACTTCTTTCGCACCGTACGCCGTCAACCGTGCTAATTGGAGGTGCAGATTGGAAAAATGTAGACCCTGCATAAAATCTTTGGCCATAGCAGCTTGTTTGTTAAGAATTCAGTGTTATGTTAATGACGAAATAACCTTAATTTCACTTGTTACAACTACAAAAAAACATTTTTGTGGATATATGGGAATTTTAATGTGTTACTTTTCGAGCTATGGAATGACTTACCTCTGGCATGATGACTGGTTACATCATTCAACTCACAACCAGAAGGATAAAATAGAAATCGCAGTCGAGTGTTCAACAAAGCCTACGTTCATGCATTGAGCAATAAAATGGTTACCGTGTCTTGGGAATTCAATGGTGATTATTTTATGGAGAGACTGGCCCCCATCATAGTAATGTGGAATTTCCAATATTTACAGTGCTCACGACTGTAAACCCAATCCCGTTGAAGCCGGGAGACACTTTGACTTAACAATTAACACGTGCTGTATCGTATTGATATGGAATACTAATTACATGCAAGGTGGCTGGCAGGGGCGGTTTCTTCATTAGGGCGATTGGGCGACGCACCACCAATGTCATTGAACCACAGAGTCACGCTAGCCGTCACTGCAGCCTCTGGATATAGTCCAATCAGCGTCATGTCACGTTCTGTGGAGTACCGCCTCTTTTTGGGCGATTTCACTCCGGCTGAGAATCGCCCCGAGTGGCCCCATAGACTTACATTCAAAGATGTTTTTTTTCGACCGGGAGGCGCTCCAATGCATTCTCTATGGCTTCCGGGAGGGCTCGCCCTAACGTGCTTATGTCATCATACGTGCTAACGTCATCATACGTATGCACGTTTCATCCAACAATATAATTTATCGCCACCGAGTGGAATCTTTAATAAAATAAACTTGAGTGGTTTGTTTTAATAGTGAGTATAGAAACAAACAAGATGTATTGTAAGAGTCACTTTATTTTTCATTAATATTAAAGAAGTGAAGTTGCCTTTACATGCTTAAGCTGTTAATTTATCCATTGCATGGGTGGACCTTATCCTTATCAATCATCCAGACATTTGCCCCCCCTGAGAGATTTTGCAGGGGCCGCCACTGGTGGCTGGGTGGCTCAGAGATACGAGTGCTGAGCTGGCATTGGTGAGATCCTGGGTTTGAATCCAAGTCACTGCCTGTAAATTCAGCCGGGTTCTCAAGTGTCATGGGTTGATGGTTACCAATAACTGCACACAAAAAAACCCCATAACATTAACTTTGGTTCTGCATTTGATGTGGCTAAATTCCAGCATTGAGATTTAAAACATCGGTCTGACTGTCATGCAATGAACATGACCGTCATATGCAGTGGGTGAAAAAGTGCTGCCCTCTGCTGCGTGGATCAGAGGTCACTTGAAAATGTAGCTCTGTGATGTCCACTTCCATTGGTTGTTCTCTAACATAAAGGGCTGTACTGGTATGCGAGAAAAGCAAATGGGAAATTGAATCAAATAACATGATGCTGACAACACAATTGGGATGCAATTGGGGGTGGGGAGGGAAATCATAATCAGAACCAAAAAAATCACATTACGTAATAATGACAATTTCTAGTGGTCTAACATGGCAAAGCATTATGAGGCTGCTGGCTTGCACCCAATTATAAGTGTGGTGGTAAAGCTAAATTAGATCAGCGCAGTTCCATTGACGTTAGAGTCAGGACCCACTTTAAATTTCACCTTGAGTTTCATTATACCATATGCCTGTATTCCCATTCAATGATTCCATTATTTTGCCCTGCATCCTTTGTTGCTGTCTTTTCAGGTTTATTATGCCAACAAGCTGAAGGTGGCTGTGATTGGACAGAGCCTGTTCGGACAGGAGGTGTACAAGTCCCTGCGGAAGGAGGGCCATGCTATCGTGGGGGTATTCACCATCCCTGATGTCAATGGAAAGCCCGACCCCTTGGGTAAGTTTCTTACTTGGCTTAGCACAATTGCATCAGTGATTATTCTATTTATATGATTGTTTATATTGCATTGTTTGCGCCAACTTTCACTTAGAATACTTTATCATGGGGATATGTAGTATTGCTTAATGTTATAAAATGTTCATGTTGTGGGGTGGTGATCGTGGAGGGCCGCGATGGGGTGTCACGGTGGCGAGATATTGTTTCCATTTCCTGATATGTAGGAGGTTGTGGGTTGGATCCAGACTCTGACGCTTGTATATTTCTGGCGCTTGTATATTTCGAGTTTGCATGTTCTTCCCATGGTCGCGTGGATTTTTTCTCCTGGTCCTCCGGTTTTCCCTCCACATTTAGAAGCGTGCGTTTTAGAATATTTGGTTGCAACACAAGTCCACGTGATAAGCCACTTTGTTGAGCTATCATTTGCGGCTCGGTCGCTTCTGAAAAAGAGCTATCTAGCTCAGTGTGCCTTACCTGGTAAATTAAAAAAAAAGTTAAAATAGTTTTTTGTTGATGACCTTGAGTCAGTGGGTGATATTACATGTTCCTATAGCAAGGTATAGTTGGCCCATTCAACAAAAAGTGCATTTGAGTTCCCTCAAAGTGGTGGTGATTTTATCGTGCAAAATTTGAACTCGTGACCTGAGTATGAGTCAAGCGCTGTAACCAGTGTCACTAATCAGATCTCTTATTTATTATCAGATATTGGGTCTTTGGAAATGTTACTGTTTGGTGAACTGGAACAGTAAAGCAGACTCACACTTCAAGCCTTAAGAATACAGTTCCAAAAGACAAATGAATATCATTGTATAAACTACTTATTATTTGAATCATTAAATAGAGAAAGCAATCATTGGGAGAATCACACTATGTAACACAATTTTTGTTCCTGGGTAGTAAGTGTTATTTCGTAATTGCTTATGCCTAAAAAGTATATAAAATGGCTATTATTCCCCACAAACTTTTCTTTTGTGACCAGGACAGTGATATTTTTAATGTACCTATTTTCAATGAAGTCAGAAAAAAACAACATATCAATCTAAATTATTACACAGTGTAATCAATATGTTTGGTAAGCACTCGAAATCAAACTTTTCTGTGGTGTGATCCTGGGTGAATTTCCACTTTGTTAAATATCCTTACACAATTGAAATGGAAATTTCACCTAAATAAAACTATTTATTTATTAACTTTTCCTTCAAAAGGAAAACTATATAATAGGCAATGTTTTAGGCACTAGCCCTTCTTAATAGGCCTCATTGTGTAAAGTGAAGTCGCCACTATATGTGCTTAGACGAAAGGCCATGGTCTATTGCGTACTTTTCCTTATAAGGCCAACTTAATGAAGTAATTCAATAATTAATAGTATAGAGGTTATAAGTGACAAATGAATAAAACCCATTCAATCAAAAGTGTTCGTGCCTAAATGTGTTCGTGCCTTTATGTATTAAGTGAAGCTATTTTCATCCTTTACTCTTCCTACACAGTTTTCAACGTGATAAATGTACTATTAGTTTAGCTTTTGTTTCGTCGTGTGCACAACTGCACCTCCGATTGGCACAGTTGGGTATGTACGTTGCGAAAGAAGTTCAACATACAGACATACAACTGCATTGTCAGCTAACGGGTAAAAAAAAACGTTTTATTGCCTTTGTGCAACTGTGTTCCTACATTTTCTGAATTTCAAACAGCACTCTTAGAATTTTTGCAATTGTCATTTGGGCATTGCACACACTTCCAGGCAGTGCTCCAAGTGACAAATTAAATGGACATTTTAAGAGTCGTCATCAAAACGAGGTTTATATTTGCCAGCGATGACGCATTTATTGGTTCACTGGGAATGTAATTATAGTCAGCTCACTGAGCCAGACCTGCAACGTCTGCCATTCTGTCATCCGTCGTCAATTAAGTGTCCTTTAATTTCTCAGGAGAATTCTGAACAATAAAGCATTGTAGTGCTCGGTCATATACTGCTATGATTAGCTACTGACATCTAAATACTGTACCATAAAAAAAATAGTGGGTATATGTATGTATGTACATTGAACTTATTTTCACCGTACATATACATTTTCACATCGAGGCTCTATGTTAGTCCAGCGCTTCTGGTTGTCGAACGAATACGTTAACACATTCTTGCGGAGGGAGCTGGTAGGAACGTTGGGTTGCTCGGTCAATGGCCAGGGTCAACGGCGGCGTGGTGTATTCGGCAAATATGCCCGACTGTGAGGGCGGGCACAAGCCGGCGTGAGTAGGTTAAACATTGAGTTTTATAAGGGCACCACGGGGTGACCAGCCCCTCCCCACCCAGCCCCACCCCTCCCACCCCCCACCCAGCTCCTCCCCACCCAGCCCCTCCCCACCCTCCCCACCCTCCCCACCCAGCCCTTCCCCACCCTCCCCTCCCCACCCAGCCCCACCCTCCCCACCCAGCCCCCCCCTCCCCACCCAGCCCCACCCCTCCCACCCCCCACCCAGCCCTTCCCCACCCTCCCCTCCCCACCCAGCCCCACCCTCCCCACCCAGCCCCTCCCCACCCTCCCCTCCCCACCCAGTCCCACCCAGCCCCACCCCTCCCACCCCTCACCCAGCCCCTTCCCACCCTCCCCACCCAGCCCCTCCCCACCCTCCCCACCCAGCCCCTCCCCACCCTCCCCACCCAGCCCCTCCCCACCCTCCCCTTCCCACCCAGCCCCTCCCCAACCAGCCCCTCCCCACCCTCCCCTCCCCACCCAGCCCCTCCCTCCCCACCCAGCCCCTCCCTGCACGACGGACGGACACAATAATCCCCTGTAGAATGGTGTAACCAGGAGGTTCCTACCAGTATAAGGTCGCAGTTATTAGACACAAAGTGCTGGCCACAAATAAACCACAATACCTTGCTGGTTTCAAGGAGCATACATCATCACGCGAAGTCCGGTCCTCCTCGCAGCAGCATTTGGATGGCCATGGAACAAAGACGGTCACTTCATTGTGCGCTTTCAGATGCGCTTCTGCGGCCGTCTGGAACGCTCTTCCTTCCGATATTAGAAAGCCACTGGAGCTGTACACTTTTAAATCTAGATTGAAAACGAATTTCTTTAGAACTGCTTTTTGTGTTTAGTTTGTTGTCCTTCCCCCGCACCTCCGATTAGCATGGTAGACTGTGTACTGTGTGAAAGAAGTTCTACATAATACATACATGGTTCTGAAGCAGTGCTCAAAATTCCACGTTCCTATGGAATGGACCATACAATCCATATGACAACCACTGCAGGTGCATTAACCATAAATACGTGCCGTCTTCTTCATAGCGGAGATTGAAAGTCCCCTAATCTTAAATACAAATTAGCAGGCCTTGTGTGTTGATGTCATCATCTACTTTTTCCAAATTTGATAAATTACTTGCAAAATACATAATTGGGAAAACCCACAGAGCAACATCCTCCCCTCCTGGCAGACTAATGCAGACTAATTCCCATTTTCAGGCCAGTGCTGCGTACACGTTCCGCATAAGGCTGGCTGCCACTGGGGATCCCCTTTACTAAACTCTATAGCAAGGCATTGGAATAGATGAGATGAGATGCGCTCTGAGGCACCTCGAGTTACCAAGACATTTAAGCACGTGCCCTCTTCATGCAAATCCTTTCTGTTGATTTTCCCACAACATGGTACTTATTTTAATGACCCCAGAGACAACAAGGCCGACGTCAACCCAAAGCTTTTTATTTCGATTTAAAGCTTTCGTGACTGCAGGGATTCATCTTCTTGGTTCTTTCGGTAAAGTCACGTAGAAGGGAAATGATAAAATAATAAAAATAAAACATAATAAAATAATTCTCATGACGTTTCGGCCACAACGCAAGCAGCCAGGAGGGGAGGCTGCTTGCGTTGTGGCCGAAACGTCGTGAGAATTATTTTATTATGTTTTATTTTTATTATTTTATTATTTCCCTTCTACGTGACTTTACCGAAAGAACCAAGAAGATCAACCCAAAGCTGTGATGTGAACTCTTGTCGCACAGGGGTCCTCGTGTATTAACTTCTCAGCTGCTCTGCACTCCGATAGCTTTGGTGGCCGACAAGGAGGGGACGCCCGTGTTCAAGTTCCCTCGTTGGAGGACGAAGGGAAAGCCCATTCCGGAGGTGCTGGAGGCGTACAAGTCCCTCGGAGCCCAGCTCAACGTGCTGCCCTTCTGCTCGCAGTTCATCCCCATGGACGTCATAGATCACCCAAGCCACGGCTCCATCATCTACCACCCATCCCTGCTGCCTCGCCACCGCGGTGCCTCCGCCATCAATTGGTAGGTTCCGCTTCTCGCTCAGGCTCGCGTGCGATACCGGACGCCGCCACGGTTGTTTTTGGGCACGTAGCGAATAGCCGATTGGAATTGCCGCAGACCCTGCCCAACGATGCGTGCATCGAAGTGCAAATTACGTGCAAATTTTTTCGCAATGACGACCTTTGGATTTGTGGGACGAACAAGACTGAACAACGTGAGACAGGTACAGATTAGAGAGACGATACGAAACAGAGGGTACAAATAAGGAGGACATTCCTTGATTGAAACGATACTAAATTCGTGAATTAATTTAATTGTGAGGAAAGGAGGTAAATTGTTATATATACTCATTAGATTTATTCTGAGTGGAATAGTGACACAGGGCAGCTGAAAGTGTCGTATCCAATACATACAGTACTTGAATTGGTTATATCTGCAATTATTGTGATTCCAGCTTTGTTATCCTGGACGTGTGATTAATATAACAGCGATACTAACACATTAATATTGCTTGTCAATTTATGAATTTTTATTCCTTGGGGAATAGTGAAGGCTCACCGACAGCTAGTTACTCCTTATTTTTTTTACGAGTGAGTAGTGAAGGTTTTCTGAGAGGTCACATGCACCCAGGCCCAGGCGTTACTGATAGAATAACAAGTACTTACTGGGCAGGTGTCAGTGAACAATCGCAGTAGCAGCTATCGATGGAGTCACGAAAGTCCCCTGACAGGCGGGGCATTTAACAGACCCGTGCGTTATTGATCACGTGGTAAAGGCTGGCTTATGTGTCACAACAAGTACAGGCCTAAGTGCTTTGGATGTATTGGAAGAGACTGACAGACAGCCCAGCCCCTCAACGGGGGTGTGCATTGCACTCATACACTGCGCACGCAATCCAGCGTGAGACGCTTTGATTTGTGGAACTCCCACACGTGCCGGGCAGTAAGGCGGTAAACCAATTGGTCCTATGAGCACGTCTGTGTCGACCTCTCAGTATTGTCCCCACGTGTGTGTTGATTTTGTCCTTGGGCACGGGTCCTCTCCAACAGGCAAAACGCTCCTTGAAAATTGAATTGGCCAAAACTTCCCAAGTTTTCCTTTAAAAAAATGCATCCTTATCATTACTGTATTCTCAGTCTATATCAGAGAGCTGAGCAAATCAACGGGAAGAACTGACAATACCAGCAGCAGCAGGCAATGCTTTATAACCGATAGAAAAATTTAGCTGCTCAATTCAGCTCCCGAAGAAGCTTCCACCAGATGCAGAAAAACGTCGGACATCTTGCCGAACAACACACGGTACAGCCCGAACACACATCGGCAGGTCACTGGGTATGGCGCTGTACAGCACGAAAACCAACGCAGTGGTAAAGCATCATTGTGTGTTTGTGTGGGTGGCTCGCAGGTGGAGGGGTGGGGTAGCGGTTAGCGCACTGCGCTTCAAAACCAGACACCGAAGTTCGATTCCCACTTACGGCCAACACCAGTGACGATGATCTGAACCGGTCCTGGGCCTCCCCTAGGTCGACTCAAATGAGTACCTGGTGTGGTGTATAAACATAGCCTCTGGGGAGACAAAGGCGGCCGGGCGTGTGCTGGCCACCCACCTGCTCGTGTGCTGTGCCGGCCTTCATAGGCGCTACTCGCTAACGGCAATTGTCCCCTACAGTCTGTTAATAGGCTATATGGGGGGGGGGGGGGTGTCTTTGTCTTTTGTGGCTTGCAGGACTCTGATTCACGGGGACCAGCGCGGAGGCCTCAGCGTGTTCTGGGCGGACGCCGGCCTCGACACGGGGCCCTTGCTGCTACAGCGCGAGTGCCGCGTCGAGCCCAACGACACCGTGGACTCGCTCTACAACCGCTTCCTCTACCCCGAGGGAATCAAGGCCATGGTGAGCGCAGCGCGCCACTGAGCTGAGTGTTGTGTCGAGCCGTGCAGTGCAGAGGGCTGGGAATGGGGAGATATTATGGGGGGAACTCATAAATGATTCCCCCCAACCACCCCCACTAGATCTGAAGAGGAGGAGCTTCGCTCCTTATGTGGGTGTCTGTGTACGTCTGTGGGTCTCTGCCCGTGTCTGCGGGTATTTTAGATATTTTAGACGTGGTTTAGTGGTAATGAAGGTGGAGAGGTTACCAGCCCCTCGCACCCGTCGTGGTGATGTCACCGTCACTTAGTGGCGAATGGCGATTGTTGTTGTTGTTCTGTCTGTGGGTCTCTGTGTGTGTCTGCGGGTGTCTGTGTGTTTGTGGGTTTAAGTGTTTATCTGTGGGTGTCTGTAGGTATATGTGCTCCTCTTTGGGTCTCTGTGTTTGTGGGCATCTGTGCTCCTCTGTGGATCTTTGTGCGCATCTGTGGGTAGTCGTGCATGTCTGTAGGTCTCTATGCATGTATGTGGGTCTCTCTGTTAGTCTAGGGGCATATCTATGTAAAAAACAAAGATTAATTTTTAATTCCTCCCGGAATGCAGTTGGGTTCAAATTTTCACTCCTACCACAGCGTTTCGGGGCGTTCCGGCTCATTTCCACCACTGACCGTACATGAGTGCTGTGCACCACTTCATATTGTTGTGCATTGTTCTATACATTGCAGTGTGGCGTTACATAATGTATTACAATGGTATATTTTGTGTTGGACAATGCAGTGTGGTGCTGTGTGATGCTTTGCATTGTTATGCATTGTGTTTGGCAAGGCAGTGTGGTGATATGTAATTTATTATGCTATTACACATTGTGTTATACATTATGGTGTGTCATTAAATAACGAATTATTACAATGCTGTGTGTGTTTTGTTGAGCAGTGTGTTATGATAAAAATATGCAATACATGCAGTGATATGCACTATGGGGAGAAATTGTGGCATTAAGTATTGCAGCATTATGCAGATCATTGCAGTTATATGTAATGTAGGTAATTTATTAATTATGTCTACAATGTGATAACTGTTCAGTGGAAAGTGAGAATGTACATAATATAAATGTAGCATACGTAAAAAATTACTTATCACAGGTGAAGCTTATTCCCAATCACATCAATTCTTATTTAAAATATAGTGATATTGGTTAGAAAATCTTCAGTTTTGTCACAGGGGAGCTCAATACAATAATTGGCTGTGCGATACATGGATCAGCATCTTCCTGTATCACAAATCATGTCTTTTCAAATATATCTGATATCTGTGAAAAAAATACTGGACATCTGCGAAAACTACAGGCACACAGACACACAAAGACAAAGATCCCCCGTATAGCCTTAACACACTGTTCGCGCAAGGGATGTTAGTGAGCACCTATGAAGGCCGGCACGGCACACGACGCGGTGGGTGTCACAAAGACAAAGATCCCCCGTATAGCCATAACGGACTTTTGGGGCAGGTGCTGTTAGCGAGACACAGATAAACAGTGTAAAGAAATATTCTGATTCCGATATATATATATATTTTTGTATCATGTCCCAATCTACCCAAGTCATCTTGCCGTTGAATACATCTATTAAGTTCAGTCCAACAAGCTCTTTGGTGTAACTTCTATTTGTGTATTTCAGTCTGGCTTTCCTGCACCTGGTTGAAAAATATTTCCACTTAAAAGTTCCATCGCGTGCCAGTGTCGTGCATGGCTTCTTGTCATGCGGTCCAACACAGTAATGCGTTGAGCACTGCCCTTGTGCTGTGCACACCGTAGACCAGTACTTGCAACCGCGTGTTATATCACATTGTTCAGACGGAAGCCGTTCAGCTGATTGCCGACGGAAAAGCCCCCAGGATACCGCAGACAGAAGAAGGAGCTACATATGAAGGCATACAACATAAAGAAGCCGCACAGGTACGGCGACTATCTCACGTTTCTGCCTTGTGCGAACACCACAAGGTCTTGTGCTTTTTGACGTGTTCGGGCGACAAGCCTGTGTCATCACTTGTGGTGTTCAAATCTCCATGCTAATAGTGGTAATAAACCTTAAATAATGCAGACTGAAGTCAGCTAAGGTCAGCCTGAGCACTTTGGCTCTGTAAATGTGAAGCATGCCATTGATGAATGTATGGGTGGCGAGCCACTCCTACACCTGGTGAACCTGCTGTCTGAAACACGTTGCTGCTTGTATGCAATGCGGGCTCCATTCCAGTCCTTGCTCAAGACCTCTCTTCTCCTTCGCTTGTGATTGCCTGCCTCCTGATCCAATGCCTTCATTCTCTCTGTGGAATTGAACGGAAACTGTGTGCATCACACATACAACATTACGATGATAATTAAACCCAGATTTAAAGATGTAAATTATTCCTCGGGCCATTAATTATTTACGTAACTTTGTCACTGCAGGACTTTCTTTTTCCATACAAAAGTAGATAAGTGGACATTGTTCGTGTTTACTCAGTACATTAAGCCACCACCAGTGTACTGAGTGGCGTGCCTGTGTTTTCAAGTTTGTTAAATCTCTGGGGATCAAAATACCATAATGTTATTGACTATCTGAACAGAAGGCTCTTCGTGTCTGTAGTCCAGCTTTGAGGGCAAAAGTTGGTGGATCGCACAGATCTGTGGAACTCCAAAGCATGCTGGTTAGGCTGCAAGGAGGTCAGGGGATGGAAGCGCAGTTCATGGATTCTTGAATCCTCTGTAAAGAGCTTTTGATCGTTATCAGCTTGTGTACGCCCTCACATGTCAATCATTCAGTGATGGAATTCGCCAAACATCGCAATGTAGGACTTTGCTGATAAACGAGTTTTAGGTGTCACTGACGCTTTCCTCTATGAACAAAAATACTATTGTCAATCATCGTAGACAATACGCTCTTTTAATAAATTCGTCCATGTTAATACTTTACAATACGGGGTTGTCAAAAGCGTAACGACTCCAGTAGTACAAACTAAGTGTACACATTTGACCCATTCACGCACGGCTGTTAGAAACAAAATATGCACTATCAAGTTTGGCCATTGCACGAAATGTCACCAATTATACGGGGTGTTTTTTTACCTTTAAAGGTCACAGTGTTATTGATGAGAGTGATAAGCCTAATGAAGTGTACTTTAATGGAATTCATCTGTTAAATGAAGCTATCTATATAGGTCAAATGACAACACAAGAGGGGCACTTTCATAGTTAAATTTAATTCTGGCACAAGTGAATGGCCTCAATGAAAAAAAACTGTTTAAATTATTCCCACACCTCCGTGTGATCTCTCAGTTGGGCAGAGCTTTGAGCAGTGGCTTAATTGCAGGTGACTAATTGAACTGTATTGCCCTACTTTAAAAATAGGTTTTAAAAAACTCCAAAGATGTGTCAATAACACCGTGGCCTGGAAAGGAAAGGTAATACAGTCTGTTCTCCGATAGTGTGTGTTTTCATGACGCCAATTGGATATAGCGCGATGAATGCATTAGGGAACACATTTTTTATAAAGCGGGTGTGAATTGGATATAACGTGATCGAGTGAACAGAACTACGTCATGCGAGTAGGAATAAGCGGTTGTGCGGCTGCCTTGGCGTAGCATCACACAAGGTGGGATGCTGCTGGATGCTTCTAGATGCTACCCACGTGCCTCAATCTTCGTTCAGCCTGCATACGCATTGCATGTGTTATCGCGGACTGTGCTTTGCCCTGCATTATATATTATTAACAACATTATTTTTCCAAAACGTGGTGTTCTTCAGGAACGCAACTACTACGTTATAAGAGAATAGACTGTAGGTGATGTTTCTGGCAATAACTCTTCTTCATAGCACGTACATTTCATAATTATGAAGTACCGGTGAGGACGCTTGACGCCGAGGTTGAGGCACACGTATGTTTATTCACAATATGACAGTGGGCATATACACACTCGAGGGGGTATTGGCCCCCTCACCCGTATAACTCGGGATACACCCCTAGCTAACTCTGTCCTAGCCCCGAATCCTCCGCTGATGGGCTAGGGGAGGCTAACTGGCCCGACACTGGTAAGTCGGGCCCGGTACCCGGAGTTCCAGACCAGCTCTTACAAGAGCACCGGCTCTGGCTTTCGGGACCACGCCGCTGGCTCAATCCTGTCCGGCCCTGAAAAGGACATCGAACCAGGGGAGTCCAGGGCTCTATCTAAGACGTCTTCAATCTTCTTCCCTTAGCTTAAACATAACTGCCTTGAGCCCTTTGAACATCCCCTTTTATACCCAACCCCTCCCTGAGGGGTGGGGCCCCGGGGGATCATAACGTTCGAACCAGCCCCCCCCCCAGGGTGTCTGGCTCGGACGTCGTAGAGAGCACTTGCTCGTGCACTTACGTAGCCCCGCCCACTGTGTTTGTTTTCCATAGGCTGCCATGCATAACGGGCCCTCTCTTTAACACCCCTACAATTAAATTAAATCCTAGCAGATAATATAATGGACTAATTATTTTAAGGCGACGTTTTAGGCCATTGCCTGATTTATTGCCTATTATGCATGTATATTTTTCACTTCAAGGCAAGTGATATTGACGAAAGTGTTGAGTTTTATTTGTCATTTGTGCTTGTGCATAACTGCCAACTCAGCATCATCAAATAGTTTACTTTTAAAATGGTTTACTTTGAAAATTGTTTACTTTGAAAATTGTTTACTTAAAAAAAATAGTTTACTTTCAAAATTATTCACTTTAAAAATTATTTACTTTCAAAATTATTTACTTTCAAAAGTGTTTACTTTCAAAATATTTTACTTGAAAAATAGTTTACTGGAAAAATAGTTTACTTTCAAAATTGTTCACTTTGAAAATTGTTTACATTCAAAATAGTTTACTTCCAAAATTGTTTGTTTTCAAAAGTGTTTACTTTCAAAATTTCTTACCTTCAAAATAGTTTGCTTTCAAAATTATTTACTTTTAAAATTATTCACTTTCAAAATTGTTTACTTTAAAAATTGTTTACTTTCAAAATAATTTACTTTCAAAATGATTAACTTTCAAAATTATTTACTTGTAAAATTATTCACTTTTAAAATTATTTACTTTTAAAATTATTCACTTTCAAAATTGTTTACTTTTAAAATTATTCACTTTCAAAATTGTTTACTTTCAAAATTATTTACTTTTAAAATTATTCACTTTCAAAATTATTTACTTTTAAAATTATTCACTTTCAAAATTGTTTACTTTCACAATTATTTACTTTTAAAATTATTCACTTTTAAAATTATTTACTTTTAAAATTATTCACTTTCAAAATTGTTAACTTTCAAAATTATTTACTTTCAAAATGATTAACTTTCAAAATAGTTTATGTTCAAAATAGTTTACTATCAAAATAATTGAATTTAACAATTATTAACGTTCAAAATTGTTTACTTAAAAAAAATGTTTACTTAAAAAATTGTTTGCCTGCAAAATTATTTACTTTAAAAATTGTTTACTTTCAAAATTGCTTACTATCAAAATTATTCACTTTCAAAATAGTTTACATTCTAAATTGTTTACTTAAAAAAATCGTGTCTCATAACCTCTGTCCAGGTGAACAGAGGGGAAAATTGTCTGTGCCTGGAGAGTGCTTGTTGTTGTCTGAGCGACCCCCATGCGTGCAAGTTGTCCGCTGCTGCGAGGCTGCGTTGTGGGCAGCAGAGAGCAGTGCGGCAACATTGTACTGTACTATTAGGCGCCCTTATCTTTGCTCTCCATCCATACCATCACTATAATATAAACATAGAGTAAGCAATACGCCTCCTTCACGTATCTGCCCCTCCACTTAAAAAAATATATTTTTTACACATTCCATCGGTCACACAAACTTCAAGGAGGGCATAATTTCAGCGGCATTTGTTCAGTACAAGAGAACTCTGGAATGATTTCCACATTTAGTCTGCAGCTTTGTTGAAACAATGCTGGTGAACTGCCAGATGTATATAGGCACCCTATGGCATGGAGAGGCCCTCACCTTTTAGTGGATTTCCAAAGGGGCTGTACATTAAAATTTGTGTGAGAATGTTTATTTATATAAGGTTGTGAGTTCACATCCTGATCATACTTCCATTCCTCTAGGGCCAATATAATGAGTTATCCACTTTTTAGACAGTCAAGTGGTCATCCTATGGAGAAAGCCGTCCTGAACCACAGGAATGTGGAATTACCGTAATTAGCTCAGGCTTGCAAATAGAGAGTCCCAGTCAACATACAACGTTGGGCCAAACGGTTCCACGCTCCTGCCAACGTTGGCATGTTCACTTGGGTAGCGCTACCAAATATTCACCTGAGTAGAGACACCTTGACTTTAACTAGACACTTTATTGATGTATCTGCTGTGTTTCCTGTTACCCTGCATGTACACTTCCATTCACGCCTCTTACTGTAATGAGTAGGCGTAGTGGCACGGGACAGATTACAAACGCGTAACCCAAACCTGCCTGTCACCACAAACATCATTGACATTGACGTATGAGCACAGAACTCTTGCATTATATTGACAAAAGTCCCCGGTATAGCCTTCACGGACTTTTGGGGCAAGTGCTGTTAGCGAGCCACCTATGAAGGCCGGCATGGCACACAAACGGGGGGTTGGGTGGCCAGCACCACGCCCGGCCGCCTTTGTCTCCCTAAGGCACTGAGTCGACTCCTCGGTGCATGTGTGTACAATGTTTACAGAAACACGGAGAGTGAGAAAGAGAGAGGTGAGAGCGAGCCTCGTGGTTCTGAATTCCCGAACGATCACACACCCCCGTAAATACACGAGCTATTGATAGCACCACGTGGCGGGTGGGTGCGTGCGGCAGATGGGGTGGGTGTGTGCCATGCAAGGGGGGTGCGGTTGCCACACCGCTTGCCATTGGTTGCAGAGGATGCTAACGGGGGAGGAGTCAAAAGCAGAGTTTTCCCCAGCTGCTATCTCACTGGAAAATAGATGACATCTGCCAAGGTTCCTAAGTTACCGACATCATCCACTCGCCCGCCAATCCTTAGTGGCTTCTTGGAGAGAGGCGATCCGAGATGTTATCTCTACGATTGTCACGTAGTTCAACATACATACTGTACATCTCAACTGAATGTGATATTACATTCTTCTACTAGTACTGGTAGGAACCTCCTGGTTACGCCAGCCCACAGGGGATTATTGTGTCCGTCGTGCAGGGAGGGGCTGGGTGGGGAGGGAGGGCTGGGTGGGGAGGGGAGGGTGGGTGGGGAGGGGAATGGCTGGGAGGGGAGGGTGGGGAGGGGCTGGGTGGAGAGGGTGGGGAGGGGCTGCGTGGGGAGGGGCTGGTCACCCCGTGGTGCCCTTATAAAACTCAACGTTTAACCTACTCACGCCGGCTTGTGCCCGCCCTCACAGTTGGGCATATTTGCGGAATACACCACGCCGCCGTTGACCCTGGCCATTGACCGAGCAACCCAACGTCACTACCAGCTCCCTCCGCAGGAATGTGTTTTGTTTACACCGGGCAAGGCCCATTGAGCTCTACAGCTTCTTTTAAAGAAGGGCCCTGGCCTCAAATTATATCTCAACAAAGTGGCTTCTCATGTGGAAATTTAGAGCAGGAAAATAATCTAAAATACATGTCTCTAATGTGGAGGGAAAAACCTGAGGATCCGGAGAAAAATCTACACGACCGCAGGGAGATCATGCAAACTCCAAATATACAGCAGGCGTCAGGGTCGGGATTGGGATCGAACCCACGACCTCCTGCATACCAGACGAGTGAGTTAACATCTCGCCACTGCAGCACTCTCATATTTGTGCATGTACAGCCCATTTGACCATCACTACTGCCTGAGAGGCCTCCCCACGGCATGCGTGTTATTGGGGTTTATTTGAACATACTTCACTGGAATGGTAAAGTTCAGGCCGGTAAAGGCAGGAAGCACAGGCGTTGGAGCGTAGTACGGTACACCAATTGATTTTGGTGCACTGCTATCTGCTGCAACATAGCGCCACAGGAGCCTTCAGCAGATGTTTTATCCACGATGTTATTATCTTGGTGCAGCCCCGTTGAGCTTCTGAGATCTGATGAGGTCGGGCACATTCAGGGTGATTTTTGTCTCCGTAATAGTAATTCCAAATACATTGATCATGGAATGCAGACACGTGTTGTTGTGGCAGAGTGCTCTACTCAAAATCAGCAAGTTCCCATTCCATTCCTGCTCAGGTTAACATTTACTTTTTTAAACTACAAAAGTCCTATTGAAATCTCAAAACTCTCTTTTTACTGAAAGTCCCGTTTCCGATGTTTGGTTAATATTTTTAGTTCATGTTATTCATTGGAGGATTCCCAACAATAGGAGAGGATAGCACTTAAATTCCACACAAAGAGGTCAGCAATCAATTTGCTGTACCCTTCCCCACATGCACTTCTTTATCTAGGAATGTGGCTGTCACACACATATCATGGTTCCCATCAGTACGCGATTCACCAACCCCCCCCCCCCCCCCCCCCCCCCCCACAGGTAACTCACTGCATTTACAGCAGTGTGCAAACTCATCCAGTCAATCCAAACAGTATGGTTTATTTTGGCTCTCAAGGCAAGTGAAATATTTGTTATGCTGTATTTGGATGATTGCGGTTGTTTGTTTCTCTGCATACTATTCTGGTCACTTACAATGTATGTTTTTGTAGCCAATACAATGATCCGTACGGTATTTGTTTTCGGGTCAAGCCACGTCGTAGTTTTATGCCAAAATTCTTATATGGTGTGCACGTATAATATACACGGGCACGGCGCATAAATAATATACGTGTAAACGTTAAAATCTTGTCGGGCGGTGAAGGGTTAACCCAGGAATTTTGCTAATAAAACTATAACGTGGCCTGACCCAGAAACATATACTGTATGTGGCATACACGATGTATTTTCCCATAACGTCTAGGTGATTTTTTTAATTCAATAGGATGCATTTGTTGCAGTTATTAGTGACGAGGCTGAGCACATCACCTCGCTACACTTAAGTATTGAGGTTATACCATTGGAACCTCATTTGCCAGTAAAAAATATCCTTGTAAAAAAGGGTGTCAGTTTTGTTGCCAGATAGAAGGATAAAAAAACAATTATCATATTGAGGTTATTTCCAAATAATAACTTAAGACAGCCATGCAGACGTGCAGTCAAAATGTCACATTTAAAGAAAAAAATTTGCTTCATCTGTAACATAGAAAGCAAGATATGTGTGCTGCTCAACGCACACATTACGGTACACTCAGTGTACTTTACACCGTGTGTACAGTTAACTGCCTCATCTGGTATACAGAAGATCGGAGGTTCGATCCAAACACTGGCGCCTGTAGATTTGGAGTTTGCGTGTTCTCCCCGTGGTCACATTGATTTTTCTCTGGGTCCTAGGAAAAAGAGCTACATCGCTCAGTGGGCCTTACCTTGTAAACTAAGATTAGTTTCATTTATCGAGCACTCACTGATTTATTACAGTCACTTACTGAAAGGTAGTCAGTTTCCTCCTTATCACTCTTCTATTGCTCCTACCATGGTTATTGTTTTTGGGAACTTCACTCATTGATTCTTCTACCCTTATTGAGGACTCAGTCCATCAAACACTGACTGTATCGCCTCATGCAACCACAACACTGCAGGGCAAAAATAACATTTCCTTTGATTTCTTTCCGCACACTGCTCCGCTCTGGAGTTCATTCCCATCGTCGCTTTTTCAATTTTTTTTCTATCCATCCTCAAGTCAAAATACGGTTTATGTAAACTCTTTTTGATTACACACGTTTAATAGTGATGTCCATTGCTGGCTGCTTGGCGTTTTTGGACATTTGGGCCTGTGCTCGGCAAGTGTGATTTTAAATGAACCTAACTGAGCGAACGGTTCGAAGGCCGCACGTGAGTGTGCCGTGCATATTAACCCCGCGTGACGTTGGCCCTCTCCCCCGTGCCCAGATCAACTTCGACCAGTCGGCTGAGGCAATACACAACTGGATACGTGGTCACGACAAAGTTCCCGGGGCCTGGACCCTCATCGATGGACAAGTGAGTTTGACCGTGGCTTTTTGGGGGTCAAGGTGTCATGTCCTGGCTTGCCAGGAGAAGGCGGGACTCCACCTGTTCTGGCTGTATGTGTGTGCTTTTTTCCTTTCCCGGTGCTCTGGATTATTCCCACATGTAAAAACGTGTTAATTGGCCGATAGCACCTTAATATATAGTGGGCCGCAGAGCTTGGGCATTGCCAACTCATCATGTGGTTGCCTTCCTGCTTTTCTGCGGTTCCTCGTGCCTCTTAAGTCGTTCTCTCTCCGAGAGTGAGCGAACACTAATCACTCTACAAGTTGAATTCATTATATTAATAATTATGATGACCTCAAATCATCAGGACCTCAACTGGCATGTGTTGTGCAGACAGAAGCATGGCTTCCAAGTAGTGTGATCTTTGTAGAGTCCCCTCAATGGTGTCGTGCAGGTTGGCTCTGTGTAGGCTTCTGAATCTATTGATGAAGCCAACTCATTGCAGTTCCCTTCACCTAATGGTGTCTAGGAGTTGTTCTGTCTGTCCCGATCACGTGATATTTGTGCCCCATACATCATATTTTCGGATTGTATTTGATGGTCCCATGTTGGACATCCATACAAAACACCGATATCACTAACACTTTTAGGAATCCAAACTTTGTTGGTATATTAATAACACCGCTTTTCAATACGCCATCCACACCTGCCAGGAAGCCTGTTGCTGTTACAACAATCCTGGCCAATTACACTTCGCATCATTGGTGATAATTGATTCATGGTATTTTAAGGAGCTGGTCCGGCATAGCTTTCGGTGATTCAAGGCTTGGCTGCCCTTTTTCGACTTGACAGAGGTTGACGCTGTTCGGGTCATCGCTGGCGAATGTCGGCACGGTGGTGGGGCAGCCCCTGGAGATTCCCGGTGCCGCCCTGCCGGGCACCATAACCAAGAGCGGCCTCCTCCTGCACGGAAATGATGGCAAGACGGTGAGATGCCAGCTCAGAGAGTTCAGACATCCATTTGACTATCACACGAAGAACATTACTGCCACGTGCGGGAGCGGGTGAGGCAAGCGCTGAACTCTACCACGTGGACCAGAGGTCACCTGAAGAAGGGACCTCTGGAAGCAGCTGTGATATCCGCTTCCGTGGACCGTTCTCGAACACAAACAATTGCACTGCTCTGCGAGAGATCCGAGTGGATTTATTCATCTAGCATTGAGTCGTTATATGCTACATAGTCTGGGTGACCACAGTGGCACACCACGGATTTTTTAATGTTCCATTTGTGCATCAAGCATCTGCATCTGCCATGTTTTGTGTCGATGTGGTTTAGGCACTAGACGGACAAAGGCAGCCAAGCTAAGCAAGCAAATGAACGGGGATCTTTGTGTGTGTGTGTGTTTACGCCTCCAGCTTCTGGTAAGGAACCTACAGTTTGAAGACGGGAAAATGATTCCGGCCTCCAAATATTTCTCGTCGGGAGATGAGGGCAGCGTGGAGCTCACGGACGACGAAAAGGCCTTTGCGGAGGAGGTTCGGGTAAGGAGCTCTGGCACAAACGTCACGTACCGGCCTCCCCGTGTCGTTGGCCATCAGCAGAGAGAGGCCCTAAAAGTAAAATTAATCCATGTGGCATATCAAACTTTTAAAAGTATACGTGTGTGCAGAGTAAAAAGCGTTTCAAGCGAAATATTGCTCTTCTTCCTCATCATTAACCATCGCTCATCCACTGATGGATGAAGGCCTGTTCTTGAAGTCGCCATTTCTCATGGTCCGGCGATGCCACAATTTTATACATGCTGACCGTGGGGCGTTGTTTGATCGTACCTTACTTCACCGTTATGTTTGACCATACTTTACAATTCGGACAGTGGGGTTTGCTCTTATTCAGCCAGAGTAAAATAAAGTCAGCTGGGTTTAGTCCGATTGCGAAATAAACCCAGCTGTTATATCAGCCTTATTAGGTGCTGACACGTGTTCCAACAGGTCTTTCCTGCTCATCGTGTGCACGTGTGTACTTTCTTGACAGGCGATATGGATGAGCATTCTCAGTAACGTGCCTGTCGTGGAAGACTCGACTGACTTTTTCAAGTCTGGAGCTGCGTCCATGGATGTAGTGAGGTGCAGTTTTGAAATCGCATACGTTGCCCTTCCGTTGTGAGCGATCGTAGTAACTACAGTTATTGATCTTGATTTGACGCTTTCGTGACTGCAGGAATCCATACTCTTTGGTTCTTTCGGTAAAGTCACGTAGGTAGAAAAATAAAATAAAATATCACGACGTTTCGATCGCAACACAAGCGGTCGTCCTCAGGCGGAAAAAAATATATAAATAATCCATCAGTGGAACTGCTCAACCAGCGAAAGAGCTGTTACAACAAGAGGTTGTTTTTGTGGCAAGCCCATCGCCACAAAAATAACCTCTCGTTTTTCCGCCTGAGGACGACCGCTTGTATTGCGATCGGAACGTCATGAGAAATATTTTTTTATTTTATTTTTTAACCGACGTGACTTTACCGAAAGAACCAAAGAGTGTAGAGTTATTTATTTGGTATCCTTCTTATTGATACTGATGGATGTTGCAGAACATTGCGGGAGCCCCTACGACGCTGGGTAAATTAAGCCACGTGGGACTTGAGTGCATTCAAGGCTACGAGTCTGCATCACAGTGACTATGTATCTTTGTGGAAGGTTGACTGGGTGACTGCATGTGAGGGTCGCTATGTGTTTGTATGACTCCTTGTCTGTGTGTCAACGTGCCTATATGTCGGTGTGTCTGAGTGACCGTGTATCTGCGTGTAAGTATTACTGTGTTTGTTACAGTGACTGTGTATGTGGTGAACGGTGGTGTGGCGGTTAGCGCGCTGGGCTATGAGTCTGGTGACACGAGTTTGATTCCCGCTCACGGTCAACACCGGTAACGAATATCTCAACTGGTCCTGGGCCTTCTCTAGGTCGGTGTGTAAACATCGCCACTTGAGAGACAAAGGCGGCCGGGCGTGGTGCTGGCCATCCACCCCCTCGTGTGCCGTGCCAGCCTTCATAGGTGCTCGCCAACAGCACTTGCTCCTAGTAGTCTGTTAAGACTATACAGGGGAACTTTGTCTTTGTGTGTGTGTGACTATGCATCTATTAGAGTCACCAAGCAGAATTAGAATCTCAGAATCAAAATCTTTATTGAAGCGTCCATGTGTGAGGTGAGTCTGTTGCTACTGTGTGGTCGTGGCTGTAAGGGAGCGACTAAGGGGTAACTCACCCTGTGGGTTGCCTATGTGAGGCTTATTCATAGTGATTGTATGTATGTTGAACTTATTTCACACCATACGTAGCCAACTCTGCTAATCGGAGGTGCAGGGAAGGACAACAAACTAAACACATAAAGCAGATCTAAAGAAATTCGTTTTTAATGTAGATTTTAAAAAGGGTATAGCTCCAGTGGCTTCCTAATATAAGAAGGAAGAGCGGCCATTCCAGACGGCCGCAGATGCGCATCTGAAAGCGCGCGATTGGGTAAACGGGCAGATGCGGCTGTGAATACTCACCGGCTGCTGCTGCTGCTGCTGCGCTGTCTCCAGGCTGATTGAAGAGCTGAAGCAGAGGAGGGGGGACCTGCAACTGCAGACGGAGGACGTGTACATGGCCACGTCCTTCCGCGACTTCACCCACATGGTCGTACGGCGGCTGCGTGGAGAGGACCGCACCGAGGAGCTGGCCGTCGACCACGTGAGCCGCCCCCCACCGCCCCCCACCGCCTCCCACCGCCTAGACAAAGACACACGGACAAGCAGACAGATAGACAGATAGACTGAAAGACTAGGCAGACATATTGATAGATAGAGAGACATATAAACTGAAAGATAGGTGGACTTAATGGAGAAACATTCTGACTGTCAGACATCATTCAGGCAGGCAAAGCATGCTGAGAGGTGGCCAGGAGATGGCGGTACAAATAAAATATCCTTGAACCCATCTGTGCAGATGTTTGATTGCTTACAGGGTGTTTCTCTTATTCCTTCATTCTCATTCCACATGCAAAACGCTTGTTAAAATCGAATTGGCCAAATATCCCAATCCAATGCACTGAAGAAACATAGTCGAGATTGGATGGTGTTTTTCTGTATAGATCAAAACCTTATTATTGCAATAATATACATTCCCCGTGTTTGTCTTGAATGGTGTTTTTGGTTTTCCCATAATATTTGCCATCATACTTTGTATGTTGAACTTCTTTCGTGCCGTACCAACTGTGCTAATCGGATGTGCACTACTCCCTCCATGGTTTTTAATTTCGCAGGCTTGCCGAGATATTCCCGCCTTTTGTTGAAGCTATATTCAATTGGTAACTTATGATGGGGTAATGCACATCACGTTCTTCTTTTAGGTCGTAAAAGAGGTGAACAACTTGACCGTGAGGATACCGCATCAGTGTTTCATCGATGGGAAGTTCGTTGACGCGGAAACCAGCAAGACCTACGACACGGTCAACCCCACAGATGGATCGGTGAGCTCCCGTGTCAGGATGCTCTTCCCCCTCCAACCCAGCTTAAATACACGCTCCAAGCCTGGGGTGTTTCATTCAGACGCTGTCTTCCCGACAGACCTGTTCTTCACCTGAGGACGGCTGCTTGCGTTGTGGCCGAAACGTCGTGAGAATTGTATTTCATTATGTTTTATTTTTATTATTTTATTATTTCCCTTCTACGTGACTTTACCGAAAGAACCAAGAAGATGAAGAGGCACACCATCGTTTGATTAAGTCATTCACGGGTCAAATGATGGTGATGTCCCATTGACAACAAGGCATGGTCTCAACTCCACATTGTAAGACGGTGGGCCAAATATCTCTTGAACACGTTATCACAAGTATTTGGGGCTGGAGCGGTGGTGCAGTGGTTGGCCACTGCACGGCTGACATCGATAGCGAGTGATAGCTGAATCAGTCCTGGGTTCCTCCCTTTGCCAACCCGCACTGATCAGCGCAAGCAGAGTGTGATCTAACAAGCCCAACCACTTACATTGCAATGTGGGGAGGGATTTATGCGTGAGCAGATTGACAAAAGGCTAAACATGATTGCTGCCCTTGTTTAATTAAGCAATTGATAATAGTCCAACATTTTCTCATCAGGACAATGGCATGAGCTAAAGAACATCACAATTGTCTTAAGTGTCAATTTTAAAGAATGTCGGGTCTCCCTTGCAAAATCGCTGCGCATCTCAATGTGTTCCCACCTGGTTCAAATAGAGAACATCATCCAGGGATTCATTTGAGCAGGGTTTGGCGAATCAGAAAAATGTCTGCACCGGGCACACCACATCCAGCATACCGCTCACTATGGCTGTGGCTACTATGCCCGTGCTTACTCCAGTCTACCAGTGACCACCTGGACAATATTCAGTGGGAAATTAAGCCCTGACTTTAATTATACACGATGGTTTGGCAATCGAACTCTTTATTGCTTCCTCTTCGTCTTTGGTACGGCCGATGTCGATGCAGAGCAACGACTACAATTTCACGTTCAGGTGGTCAAGCCAGATAGCCGCGCGAGGAGCAGCGGAGTCGTGTATCATCGCCGTGATGTCTCCTTTGTGTCCGTGGATCGGGCATTGTGCTATTTTACGTTGTACAGTCTGTTCTGTACAACCAGGGTCGCACACTGCTACTCGAGAGCTTTTCATTTTCCTTTGCTTTGACACAGTGGGATTTGAACCGTGCACCCTGGAGCTAACGGTCCGCACGTAAATGCGCACATCGACAGGCTTCAAGTTGGGCGAACGAAGGAAGGTTACCTGATCGTGTGAACGCCGCTGCTGAACCTGTCACTCTCCTATCTCTCTCTCTCCTCTCGCCGCCCCGAACAGGTGATCTGCAAGGTGGCGTTCGCTTCCGTCGCCGACGTCGATGAGGCCGTTGCAGCCGCTAAGAGAGCGTTCGAGGGCGGAGAGTGGGGGCGCATGAACCCCCGCGACAGAGGGCGCCTCCTGTACAAGTGAATAGATGACACGCTCACAAGCGTTCGCCTACAAACACACAAAAATAAAGACCGCCCCCATCCTATATGCCCCCACCTCCCCATTTATCCATTAAAAGGCTGTTGGGCCAAGTGTTGTTCGCGAGCACCTATTATTAAGGCCGGCACGGCACGCGATGGGGGAGTGAGGTGGCAGCACCATGCCCGGCTGCCTTCGTGTCTTGTTAATTCTGACGATAGGTACTAATTTAAGGCTGAGTTGTCCTAGGGGAGGCCGAAGACCATTTCATATATACTCCATTGATGTTCGGTGTCCCAATCACTCCACTATTACTTCCCACACAAATACACACACAAACCCATACATGCAAACACACACAAACAAACCCATACACAAGTCCAAACCCATACAAACACACACACTTACGAACCCATACATGCAAACAACAACAAAGATCCCCCGTATAGCTTGAACAGACTGTTGGGGCAAGTGCTGTTCGCGAGCACCTATGAAGGCTGGATTTGAAGGCCGGAACGGTACACGAGGGGGCGGGTACCTGCCGCACCAGGTACAAAATTTGAGGCCGAGTCGACCTAGAGGAGGCCCGGGACCGGTTTAGATAATCGTCATTGGTATTGGCCGTGAATGGGAATCGAACCCGGTCACCAGGTTTTTAGCGCACACACACACACACATACAAACCCATGCATACAAACACACACACACGCACAGACCTATACAACACCAACACCAGCCACGGTTGACCACGGCGTGGCGTTGTTGCCACCGTGACGCTCGTGCCAGGCTCGCCGACCTCATGGAGGAGCACCAGGAGGAGCTGGCCACCATCGAGACGCTCGACTCGGGGGCCGTGTACACGCTGGCGCTCAAGACGCACGTGGGCATGTCCATACAGACCTTCCGATACTTCGCCGGCTGGTGCGACAAGATACACGTGAGAGGCGGTCAGGGCAGAGCGTGCGGCAGTTGGCGTGGCAAGCGTTCACGCCGTATCCCTCTCATCTCATCACCAACTAACTCACAGTAATCTTGCGAAAGACTCAACGCAGAAGATCCCTGGTTTTGATTTTCCACAATGCTCATGTGATCCACCCTAAACCGCATCCGCACAAACCATGGCAGATGCAGATACCTGATTCACAAATGGAAAATTTTAAACTCTCCAGTGTGCGACTGTGGTCATCCAGAACAGACCGTACAACGTCTAACGACGCCACATCCAATCCACAAATACGAAGGAGACATCACGGCGATACGCTCCGCTGCTCCTGACGCGGTTATCTGGCTTGGCCACCTCGATGTGAATTGCAGTTGTTGCTCTGCATCTACATCAGCCGTACGATCGAAGCAGATCACATTGCCATTTGGGAGTAGTGCTTTATGTTGTGTAACACCCGAGGCCAGCGTTATCGGGGTAATGGGGTGGGCCCTGCAAGCACCGAATGTCCCTTTGGCACATACCGTACCTAGTTGTATATCACTGTTAAAAAATGCGTGTGGAAATATATTCAGGAGCTAAAGGCAAATGCCGAGGTCTGCTCGCCACGAGAGGTCTTCAGGGGAGAGTTTGTGTAGTTTTACTATTCCTCCGCTAAAGGAGCACAGGCTACATGTATCAATGTTATGGGGGCCCCCATTCAAGAGAAGCTGGAGCCAGGTCTGGTAACACCTATGACAATACACCATCTGTTATCAGATTCACTCTGCACCTCCCAAAGCTTAACATCTTAAATTTGTCGTTCCCTCCATATGACATTATCATCATCATCATCATAGCTAAGAAACAAAGAGGGAGAAGCCTTTTATAAAGTCAATCCACTCAAACCATATTTTATGGGCTTGAGCTCCAGTGTCTCTGGCGATGTCCACGAGACACCAGCCAAGCAAGGGATTCCCCACTTACATCACACCGATGGCCCTCATTGCCATTGTTGACAAATCGTGGATTTTCCATCGGTGTTTTTCCTGACACGGGCTTTGTATTCTGTGCAGGGCACTACCATTCCGATCAACCAAGCACGGCCCAATCGAAACCTCACCTTCACAAAGAGAGAACCAATAGGGTAAGTTGCAGGATGACGTCACACGTAATGATGTCATGGGGGGGGCGAGGTGTGCGCATCGCGCGTGATGTCATTGCCTTGGTCGCAAAACTTTTGATAATTTAGTCCGTTTTTCTATGGAGTAAGTCCCGAATAGCAACACAACTTCATTCTCAAATGTCATTTTGACTGGACCATAGAAGAGTGATTGTGACCCCACGCTACAGACAGGACAAACGGACAGAGCAAATGCATCATGGCTTTCAAACGTAGTTGCTCCAACAAAAATATAAACATTTGTTGGATAAGCAAATGCAACCTTTTGGTAACCACCTTTTGGTAAACACGGCCCGTTAATACAGTTGTCACGTGAACAAATGTGCCAGTGTACGGTGACCTGTGTGTCACAACTCTTTATCATTGCCAGTTGTGAAAAAGAACAAACGTTGGTCCCTTTGGACTGTAGGCCTCAGGAGAAAGTCATAGTTGTTTAGACAGTCGCCAGGCTGTTATCAGCAAGGGCAAACACAAGTGGTATGCCAAACCTGTGTGTATTCTTCTAGCTGAAAATGCCATCTCCTAAGAACACATGAGGTTCAATGCACTAAAACGTAGCATGACGTTGCAGTTTTTGCAGGGATCTATGTATTTTACTTAAATACACTTATTTGGCATTTACATTACTTGGAGTTGCAATTTTCACGTAATATTTAGTTTTTCGTTGTTTTTGCTTGCAATTTCATTTTCATTTCAACACATTTATACATTTGAACCAATAAACGTGTAAACATTGCAGATGCAAGACCCTGTACAAATGTAAAGGCTTACCCAAACATTGATCGGAATGACAGGTGTATACACCATGGGGGAAGGAGGGTGGTTTATTATGGGCCTGTTAATGGTGGGGCACTCCATGGGGAATATTTCGTTGTTCTTAAGTGATAGAATATAAACCCAGCTCATGAGCAAGAGTCAGATAGGATGTGGTATCACGGGACCAAGTGTCGATGTTCAACGTGTCAGACCTCCTTTATTCAGCAGCCGGTAACACAAGGCTACTGATGAGGTGCTTCAGGATACATCGTGAGCAGTGAAGAGGCCGAGCGGTAGCGTGTACGCTGCTTGTGTTGTAGAGGTTCACGGTTCAAGCACGCGGCGGCCACCCTGGTTAATATCATGGGCGTATTGACCAAAATATGTGCGCCGTCTGAATCACAGCAGACGTTAAATGTCCTGTGACGTTATTAAGAAAATTGTAAACCATGTGTGCCGGCATCTCTTTCCAATAATGACTCACAAATTTAATTCTTTGGAAAACCACGGAGCAGCATCGCCACCTACTGGCAGACTATAGTCGTCTGTAAAACATAGCGCCGTCTTGATGGCCTTGTGCTATTGTAATTCCACCAATAACAAATGTGCTCATTATTATTACTATTATTGTTGCCTTATATGCCATGTGTGGTTTCCCAGCGTCTGTGGCATCGTCATTCCTTGGAACTACCCCCTCATGATGCTGGCGTGGAAGAGTGCGGCGTGCCTGGCAGCTGGGAACACCCTCGTGCTCAAGCCTGCTCAGGTACAGTCCCGACTGCAATGCGAACCCCATGAGCACGCTTGGCTACGTATGGTGCGAAAAGGTTCAACAGACATACATACTCCATAATAGAGGTTTCTGGGTTAAATATAAATGTGTCGGTAAACCCGCCACCACCCGTCGCAACCAATTAGTAAGGTTTGTAACGTAAACAAAACATGCCAATTCGTTATTAGTTCAGCACACCGGTGTGTTGGAGAGTAAACCCACAACATTTACAATTCGAGTACCACGTTTCGCCAGTAATTACAACAAGCACCACCAGACACAGCCAATTAGTAAGGTTTGTAACGTAAACAAAACATGCCAATTCGTTATTAGTTCAGCACACCGGTGTGTTGGAGAGTAAACCCACAACATTTACAATTCGAGTACCACGTTTCGCCAGTAATTACAACAAGCACCACCAGACACAGCCAATTAGTAAGGTTTGTAACGTAAACAAAACATGCCAATTCGTTATTAGTTCAGCACACCGGTGTGTTGGAGAGTAAACCCACAACATTTACAATTCGAGTACCACGTTTCGCCAGTAATTACAACCAGCACCACCAGACACAGCCAATTAGTAAGGTTTGTAACGTAAACAAAACATGCCAATTCGTTATTAGTTCAGCACACCGGTGTGTTGGAGAGTAAACCACAACATTTACAATTCGAGTACCACGTTTCGCCAGTAATTACAACCAGCACCACCAGACACAGCCAATTAGTAAGGTTTGTAACGTAAACAAAACATGCCAATTCGTTATTAGTTCAGCACACCGGTGTGTTGGAGAGTAAACCCACAACATTTACAATTCGAGTACCACGTTTCGCCAGTAATTACAACCAGCACCACCAGACACAGCCAATTAGTAAGGTTTGTAACGTAAACAAAACATGCCAATTCGTTATTAGTTCAGCACACCGGTGTGTTGGAGAGTAAACCCACAACATTTACAATTCGAGTACCACGTTTCGCCAGTAATTACAACCAGCACCACCAGACACAGCCAATTAGTAAGGTTTGTAACGTAAACAAAACATGCCAATTCGTTATTAGTTCAGCACACCGGTGTGTTGGAGAGTAAACCAACAACATTTACAATTCGAGTACCACGTTTCGCCAGTAATTACAACCAGCACCACCAGACACAGCCAATTAGTAAGGTTTGTAACGTAAACAAAACATGCCAATTCGTTATTAGTTCAGCACACCGGTGTGTTGGAGAGTAAACCCACAACATTTACAATTCGAGTACCACGTGTCGCCAGTAATTACAACCAGCACCACCAGACACAGCCAATTAGTAAGGTTTGTAACGTAAACAAAACATGCCAATTCGTTATTAGTTCAGCACACCGGTGTGTTGGAGAGTAAACCCACAACATTTACAATTCGAGTACCACGTTTCGCCAGTAATTACAACCAGCACCACCAGACACAGCCAATTAGTAAGGTTTGTAACGTAAACAAAACATGCCAATTCGTTTTTAGTTCAGCACACCGGTGTGTTGGAGAGTAAACCCACAACATTTACAATTCGAGTACCACGTGTCGCCAGTAATTACAACCAGCACCACCAGGCGGACAGCCAGAACTGTGGAGCTAAAAAATAACAAGTTTTCTGCCTATAGTGAAACGGATTTAAGAAGCACGCTGAGGCATATGTGAGAAAGGTAAATGTGCTGGCAGAAGGGCAGCCACTATGAGGTCGCACTTGTTACACACAAAGCGCTTTGCCACAAATGAACCACCATACCTTGCTGATCTCGTCAAGGAGCATGAACCGTCACGCGACCTCCGATCGTCCTCGCAGCGGCTTTTGGCGAGCCATCGAACTAAGACGATCACTGCATTGCGCGCTTCCAAATGCGTTTCTGCAGCCATCTGAAATGCTTTTCCGTCCGAAATTTGGTAGCCACTGGAGCGATGCACTTTTAAATTTAGATTGAAAACTCATATTTTATAGAACTGCTTTTTGTGTTGAGTTTTTTTGTCCTTCCCCCACACCTCCGATTTGCACGGTTGGCTGCGTACTGTGCGAAAGCAGGTCAACGTATAAAACTGAAACTAAATCGAGCTGTCGAGGCCCCCTCTTGAAAGAATATTATGGCCCCCTCTTTCATACCGGCCAGACATGTTGGAAGAGATGGGAGCACCCACGCTTTGCCCCACGACACGAGAACTGCCGATCAACTGTGGTGGACTCATTTACGCTGCTGGGTGGACAGAGGTGGGGGGAATTTGAGAAACACCCCCCCCCCCCCATTGTTCCAATTGCCGCTGAGGGAGATCGATTTGGTGACCTTTTCGTTTCAAGTACAGCGTGCCAAGCCATACAGAGTCATAGTAATTATTATGATGTATTTACCCGATAAAGCCTCAATGGAACCCAACATTCATTTTCAATTATGGCCGTGTTTTCGGGTTGTTGCATTTGGGAAAAAATATTTGAGTGCCCAAAAATCAAACTACGTACATTGCGGGTTAACAACAGTAGCCAGTGATATCTATAACAGGTCTCGGGCAACACCTCCCATCACCCACCCACACTGATTCCTGGCCAAGCATAACATCGGCGGCGAGTGATATTTGAACCAATCCTGGGTGCCCCCCACCTTCACCTACACACACTGACCAGGATAGGGTGAAGTATGGTCAAACAGACCCCTGTAATTGACACGGCATGGGAAGGCCTTTATCTCAGCAGTCATTAACAAAGAGCTATACATATTTTTTGTTTGTTTTTATAGTCAAGTTGATCACAAGTGACATTCGGTATAATACATATGGGCGTGACTGGGCTAAGATTATCGAACCCGTATAATCAGGTTTGCCTGCATGCGAATGTACGTGGCCTGCATGTTGGATGCTCAATGTATTATTTTATTTGAACGTATTGGCGGTACACCGGTGGTGCGCAGTATAAAGAAAAAAAAGAGCAAATTTTTCACAATAAATATATATTTCCCTACGATTCCCAACCCCCGGTCAGAAACTCTAGTGGGGTGATGTCGAAGCAGTCGGAAGACAAATGTCAGTTCAAATTTAGATTTTAGACTTTTATGAGTTATGCTGCACCGGTGTACCACCAATACGTCCATTTAAACGGTCATTGGGTCAGTGCATGCGGATGTGGCGTCCTAATAAGAATGGCTGTTTTTGTTCCCGGGCAGGTGACCCCGCTGACTGCACTCAAGTTCGCCGAGCTCGCGGCTAAAGCTGGATTTCCAAAGGGCGTCATTAACATCATCCCTGGCTCAGGTAGCTCAAGCACAGGATCTCACGTCTGATAATACCACGGGCGCACAGGCGCGTCTGGTACTGGAAAACAGATTAAGGTGCATCCATCTAGATGGGAGTAAGAATGCGTGGAGTGAAGGTATCTTGCAGCTTTCGTGTGTGTGTGTGTGTACGTCGGTTTGTAGCTGGTGTGATGTGTGAAATCATCGCCACTCAGGAGACAAAGCAGTCAGGTGTGGTGGTGGCCACCCACCCCCTCGCGTACCATGCTGGCCTTCATAGGTGCTCGTTAACAGCAATTGCCCTAAAAGTATTTTAAGGCGATACGGGGGATATCGGACTTTGTATGGAGGTGAGGAGCGGGAGTCTAGTCGTTAGTGCACTGCACCACAAACCCAGCAGGCTAAGTTTGATTCCTGGCTACGGCTACAATCAGTGGTGACTATTTGAAAAAATCCTGGGCCTCCCCTAAGTCGACTCAGCCTCACATGAGTACCTGGCAAAATTTGTAAAACTTCAGCAATGGGGATACTAAGGCTGGTCACACCACCCCCCGTGTGCCGTGTCAGCCTTCACAGGTTCCCGCTAACTGCACTCGCCCCAACAGCCTGTGTAGGCTCTATGGGGGGTCTACGTCTACTTACGGTGCCTGTCATTTGCCTGCATGTGTAGGCTCCATAGTCGGTCAGAGGATGTCCGAGCACCCACACATCCGTAAGCTCGGATTCACCGGCTCTACGCCCATCGGAAAGCAGATCATGAAGAGGTGAGCATTCGTTCCTGCCCGTGTCGACCAGCTGCGAAACGGCGGGCACGTCAAGCAGCGCGAAGCAGAACGTGCAGCCGGGTGTTTCACTGGGAGCGGTGTATTGTTAAGCAAGCACACTGGACTTGAAATACAGAGGTTGTTGATTCAACCTTCCTGCATTTACTGGGTTAAGGCCGTTAACCCACTGGGTTATGGCCATTGAAACCAGCTATCCAGATTGTCATGGACCGGGCTTAACAGATGGGTTTGTGATGATAGGCGTCTTGGCACCGTCTTGCTTTATGTGCCACCCCTGTTACATGTGGAAATGCCCATAGACGGCCTTACACATTGTTGAGGACTGTCCCTTACGAGGACAAGAAGGTGGAATGAGAAGGATGAATGCACTGCATTAAGTGGCAATATAGAATGGTGACAGCATATTCAACAAGCACCACTCACTTTGGACTTCAGCATAGACACCACTTTGCACACAAGCGGCTTGTCACACAACCCTGCAGTCAGGTGCATGAGGTCATTGGATTGCTCTTTTTGTTTTTTCGCCTTACTGGGTCTCAAGACACTTTTCTCAGAAGTGTCTTTTTTTCCCCTGCAGTAGGGGGTGATGTTGCTGTTGTGTGTAATCCCAATTGAGTAATGCGCAGGTTATATTTCAGCACTGAGTTGTTTGACCAATATTGGTTACATTGTGTGTGTGTGTTGTTTGTGCTGTTTGCCTCGTTGATGTTCATTCCCACACTCAGCTGTGCCACGAGCAACCTCAAGAAGGTGTCTCTGGAACTCGGTGGAAAATCACCGCTCATCATTTTCAACGACTGCGACATCGACAAGGCGGTGAGGATGGTACGTACGCAAAGTTCCAATTTTTTACCTCGATTCTTACCAGCGTTGCATTTTTAAACCACGCGGCAGGCATGGCGCTTGCATTGTACACGCTGTCCCTGCCCTCGGATTAAGCGAAACAATCGCTGCTGCGAGAGAAATGGTTTGTTCGGTCAAATTGTCTCAGCTAATGCGCCCGCGGTTGTTGACAATGGCCGTGAAGCTGCTGTGCCCCAACATCGCAAGCGGTGTGTGTCCGCATTTAATGACTGGAGCATAACGCCGCACCGTTAACCTCACGGAGCCCATGCTGGTCTGCGCATCTGTTAAAAGCCGTGCCTACGTGTTCATTAGCCTTAATTAAGCCTGACTCGGCTGCAGAAAATAAGCAATTAATTTTTTTTGTCGCACTGGATTTTATCCGAATGAGACATTATCTCACTGCTAAGGATCACATTTAGGGACAGATTTTATTTTTAATGTTTAAGTTATGGGTATCTTTCCATGACACTTACAGTGGCATAAATACAACACTGCGGTCAAAATAGGTCCAATTCCTCAGGTGTAGAGAATCATACATCGTAAATTCATTGAAAATATACAGTATATGAATACCCATGCTTATGCTGTAAAATGGGTTGAACATAGCCAAACGCACGCAAATAAATACAGCTGCTAAACATTTCCATGGGTTAAATTTCATTTCTCGTTTTGAAATGAAATTGTAGGTCACCGTATCTTACTGGGGTAAGGACAACCCGTACCGATACGATCAATGTTTATTCATTTCATGGTGAAAAATTATTGTGTCAATACATGGAAGAGACTCCCTAGACAAAGATATATTTAGAGGCTAGATGTTCATCAAGCTAGGTTTTACTATGGCCAAAGGGCTCTTTTCTACAACTATAGGGGTTGCGAGTTTAAACATGTGAATGTATGTTCAACTTCTTTCGCACCGTACGTAGCCAAGCGTGCTAATCGGAGGTGCCGGGGAAGGACACCAAACTAAACACGAAAACATTTTCTAAAGAAATTAGTTTTCAAGCGGAAGCATATCTAGATCCTGATTGGCAGTCAGCTCAGCCTACCATCTCTCCGGATTGATAACATTTGTAGTACTGGCTCAGGTCCTGCAATAGGGATAGAATCAGCCCCTTGTACAGTTGGTAATGGACACACTTGGATTATGACCTGGCTATCGTACATATTGTTAATTCGATATGTGTGATGCAAAGCCATCCATTAAATTAGAATTAATTCCACAAAATAGCTCTTCTATTGTAGATATTCATGCAGACTGTGGGTAAGCGTGTTGACCATAAATAGTTTGAGGTGTTATAAATGGGAATACATACTTTATAGTGGTTATCATTCGAGTGATGCGATTGAATGGAAATATTATAATGTACGCAAGGGATGTCGAAGCAATGGTGGGGTGGTGGTGGCATCAACAGGACTGTTCATGATGACCTCTTGACCTTGGCACAGATACAAAGAAAAAGATCCCCCATATACCCTTAAACAGACGTGAGGGGGTGGGTGGCCAACACTAAATTCAGCCGACTGTCTCCCCACCAGGTACTCATTTAAGGCTAAGTCGACCGAGGGGAGACCCAGGACCGATACAGATATTCGCTGTTGCTGATCATAAGTGGGAATCGATATCAGGTTGGCGGGTTTATAGCGCAGTGCGATAACCACTGCACCACCGCTACCCCAATAGATATAGACACACAAAAACAATAATCACCCGTTTAGCCTGAACAGACTGTTGGGGAAAGTGCTGTTATGCGAGCACTTATAAAGGCCCGCACGGCACACGAGCAGGTGGGTGGCCAGCACTACGCCCGGTCGCCTTTGTCTTACTAATGGCCATGTTTACACATTGCACCAGGTACTAAAATTTGACGCTGAGTTGATCGCATTAGACACACACAAATGCACGTTTATAGATGCGACGCATATGCACCACGCCCATAACCGTGTGCGCGCGTGTGTCTGCGTGTGTGTCCTCCCTGGTGTGAAGGGCATGAGCGCAGTGTTCTTTAACAAAGGCGAGAACTGCATTGCGGCGGGGAGGCTGTTTGTGGAGGAATCCATCCATGACGAATACGTGCGGAGAGTGGTGAGTCTCGGGGAGGGCCCCGCGTGTCTGAGTGTGCACGTCGGCATCTGTGCGTGTTCGGTGTTCAAGGAGGAACACCGGTCTCATGAAGCCTGGTCAATTTTCTCGAAAGGACTAGACAGTTAGGTTTTTGAAAGAAAAAATAATATGCCGAATCAGGCGACTTGGTTATTCTGACTTCCTTGATCAACTCTTACTTTCTGGATTTTTCTCAAGAAGCTTTGTGTAGTTCCAAGCGATTTTTTATTATTTTTGCAATTATATTATTTATTTTTTACCTACGTGACTTTACCGAAAAACCTAAGAGTATGAATCCTTGCAGTCACGAAAGCTTCAAATCTAGAACCATCAGCACCTCTTGAGCCAGCTGATCCTCCGCTCTTGTCTCTTTCCTCCTAAGGTGGAGGAGATTAAGAAGATGAAGGTTGGCGACCCGCTGGATCGGTCCACGGACCATGGCCCTCAGAACCACCGTGCACACATGGAGAAGCTGGTGGAGTACTGTGAGGTGGGGGTCAAGGAGGGGGCCACGCTGGTGCACGGGGGGCGGCAGGTTCCTCGACCAGGTGACGTCCGTGTCCCGACACCAACCCCTGACCCCTTGTCCCCCACACGTCGCCTTCCCAGTGTTGCCTCCCTTACACGCTCAGTCACCACACATTACACGGTTACCACACGTTACACGGTTACCACACATTACACTGTTACCTGTCATTTTAAAGTGCCCTACCGTTTTTTTTTTACTCACGAGAGTCAGAAACGATGACTCAAAAGCCCGTTAGACATAGGTCAACAGCCTGCTTGCTCTGTTGCCAATTGCAGAAGAGGGAATTTAGGTTGAAAGGAAAATGCAACCCAAGGAAATCCAAAATGTCCCCTTGTAGTTATTTACTGAGTCTGCGTTTCCCATTGCGAAGCTTCATTTATGAGAACAAAAATATACTCTGCAGTCATGATTCAGTGTGCCACCACAGGGTCCGCCAGTGATGTCACAGATATGGTTCGAGTGCACGCCACACCTCAAGATATCTAGTTTCTCGCGCCGTACAACCCCGTACAACACAATCTACGATGAACCTATGCACAAGAGTCTTTTGTATTTGGGTTGGATCGTCCTTGAACTGATACGGGGTCATTCCTCCCAGTGTCCCCTCATGGCATGTTTATGCGCCACGGGGGCTCATTATATTCATGCGTTCGTGGTCAATACCAAAGAAGATAAGCTTAGTGCGGCCTGGAAGCATATTATTAAATAATACACATTACAATTCCTTATAGGGTAAACAAATACTAATTAACTGATTACTAACGTAGTATATAATTATAATAACACACATTACAACTGATTACTAATCTACAACTCACATCGTAACAATTGCCTGATTACTAATCTAGTATATAATTACAATAACCCCCCCCCTCCGCCTCAAATCGTTGCGCCTGATGAGTTAAATGATGACGTCACCCTGCTGCTGCTCTATTTAAGACCGGGAGACAGAGCAGAGCCTCACCATTCTGGCGAATTGCCCGATGATGCTGGATGCAATTACCAGCGAAACGTCGTACTACTCAAAAATTGTAAATATTGTGGTTTCACGCTTCAACACACCGGTGGGCTAAAGCAGTGAACTATTTGTCTTTTGTCAACGTGACACTTTTTTTGCCGATTGGCCGTGTCGGGTGGTGGAGGGTTACGACACATTTATAAATAACGCGATCTAATCCTAAAATGTTGATTATGAATAAATATTCCTCTTGCGCGTAATACACACAGCATGCCCGGGAGGTATTGTCCGTTGAAGGATTATTACTACGCAGCAGATTGGACGGTGTGGCTGAATGTTGGTGTTAGATTAAAAACGAATTTCTTTAGAACTGCTTTTTGTGTTCAGCTTGTTGTCCTCCCTCGCCTCCGATTAGCACGGTTGGCTACGTAAGGTGCGAAAGAAGTTCAACATACGTACAGTTCAACATACGTGGGTGTTGTGTGAGAGATTATACTGTTTACCAAAAAACAATGAACAGCTTTAAGTAATCTTCAAGAGCACATTCCGGGAGCATTCAAAACAACCACTACTTTGGAAAAAAACCCGAGATGTTTAAAGCATCTGGGATTTTTTCGAATCTCAGAAGGATGTGCGTCACCGAAAACCACGGTGGGCACGTGCAGGTTTTAAAGTTGTGATACCTCGATGAACATTGTATAACAACAAAATAAACTTAACACATTCGTCAATAGCAGTCGCCTTAAAAATATATGGAAAATTGGAAACGTTTTGGGCAGCGGACTTTCTTCACAGCACACGGAGAAGCCAGATTGGTCGAATAAAGTAGAGGCGGTGCTTGAAAAGTCACCTATTATATATATTTTTTAAGGCTTTGTTATTAACGAATGTGTTCTTAATTTCGGTAATTTGTGTGGCAGGACTGCCAACGCAACATCAACAAGTAAACGGAACTGTACATGTAGAGGTGTGAAAGTTGTTGCTATTATTAAACTTAACCGTCCAATTATTTTTTCCACCAGGGTATTCAATTGGCAGGTGCTAATAATTGTTTTTTTTTTATATAAACACACTGAACTAGATAATTTATGGTTACTAGAGTTTGACAAAGTTTCAAGTAAACTATGCTACCATATTTCGATTTAAAGCTTTCGTGACTGCAGGGATTCATCTTCTTGGTTCTTTCGGTAAAGTCACGTAGAAGGGAAGATATGCTACCATAATTGGTGTGGTGTTTTAAATTAAAATCTACTTTGTAAATACAGTCTACATTAATCGAAGAATATATTTGGAAAGTTTGCACGTTCATATTCTGATCGTGGGTCGACTCAACCCATCATCTTCTGTGGGTTGATGGAATGAGTACCAATTTGTGAGAATTTTACTTTGGTTGTATTGGTTGGATGGATTGCCGTATGAATGCGGAATTTCCATCACTGGCTCAGGGCTGGAAACAGAGGTGAACACCACTGCACATTAATTTTACTTGGTGTAAACCTTGACTTCATTAATTGTACGAGCTGCCATATTTGTGTATTCTTAAATGTTTTCGAACAATATTTGCAAAACTGCTGGCTGGCATTGATATGTTCTTCAGCGTAGGGTCAGTCTAATCACTGAGAATTTCAGAAAATGCTTTGCCCTTTCCCAAACGCGCAGAACGTAGGGCACTGCAATCTGTCTTGCTTTGTACAGCACATTTCTGATAGCCCTGGGCTGTGTAGTTGTGTGCTCTAAGCCACATTGTCATTGGACACCTTATCAGAAGTATTTGCAAACGTAGATCATCAAACCAGCCTGACAACAGTAATGATATAATACATTTGTTTAATTCTTACTGAGTCTCAAGACTTTTTTAAGAGGGTCCTGCTTATGAACTGTTCTCAGAAACGGGATCACTCTGAGGAAACCCAAACTGACGAGGAAGACAATGAGGGTTGCCATGCTATACATTTTCACAAAACGATATGATTTCTATTTTTGGGATGATTATTTAAAAATATCAATTTCACATAACTTTAAATTGCATATCAAGTAATAATTTTACTATAATTTATGTGCTTGCCATACTTCCAGTACAAAATATACTGAGAAGTTCTTCAACTACAATTCACTGAACATGTAACTCTGCCATAAGTATCTCTAACTGTCGATATAATGCAGATGCTGTTGGTTACATGATAAATAATTAACGTAGTACATTAACTATGAAAATGATGATGATGTATAACCACCATTCCATCAGTCATTCCAGACGTGTAACTTTGCAAAGTGCTAATTTAATAGGTCATGGCTATAAATTCACAACTTTTGAGTACTTTGCTTCTTTATTTTCCGAATTTTTTTTTATCAAAAAATGTTATATGAAATAAAATAAACAATGGTAAACGTTTCTTAATCAACCCCCTACCTCCACCTCTAGGAGGTCAAATGTCCTCTGGGAGGATTCTCAAGAACTGCCACGGATGGAGGCCCTTTCCACAAAGTGCTTGCCACAAATGAACCACAATACCTTGCTGATCTCGTCAAGGAGCATAAACCATCGCGCGAACTCCGGTCATCCTTACAGCAGCAGCTTTTGGCGAGCCATCGAACAAAGACGGTCACTGTGTATGCCATCGTGCGCTTTCGGATGCGCTTATGCGGCCGTCTGGAACATTCTTCCATCTAATATTATGAAGCCACTGGAGCTAGATTGAAAACGAATTTCTTTAGAACTTCTTTTTTGTGTTTCATTTTTTGTCGTTCCCCCGCACCTTCGATTAGCGAAGTTGGCTACGTGCGGTGCGAACCAAGTTCAACATACTTACTTCCAGCAACAGTTGGTATATGCGTACAGGGCTGCACATTTATCTACCTTTTATATAAACACAGGCTCTGCTGTGGCATGTGGTGAGCAGGGTTTTTCATGGAGCCGTCTGTCTTCACGGGTGTGGAGGACCACATGTACATCGCTCAGGAGGAGTCCTTCGGGCCCATCATGGTCATCTCCAAGTTCCCTGATGGGTAAGGACAAATCGACCACCAATACATTGTCCAGAGTTCAAATACAGGCAGCAGCAGAGTTCCAGGAGAAGTCCTCAGTGGTTCCTGTTACCGACAGGAGCTGTAGGGTAGATGAAAACGTTTCTTTACAGGGTGGCTCCCGTTCACCGCTGAACCTCGGAATAAGAAAGCGGCTAATGTTAATTTTTACTTAGTGTTTCTCACCACAGAGAACTGTAGCAACACGACCGCACTCTATGATAGCTGTTGCCAAACTGTGCTACACGTCCTCCCGCATGGCCTTGTGGGACCCTCGGTTACACCTTCTGACCTGAAGACGTACCGATAAAGTTATTTTATTTAGTTTGCATTCAAAACTAATGACATACACGTACGTCAACGGAATGGCAAATACCAACACATGTACATGTCCATGTATTGGTATTTGTCCGTGCATGCGTTGATTCACGTCTGTGCGTGTGTCCGTACGCACCACCGTCACGCTTCGCTGTCGGCAGGGATATTGACGGGGTCCTCGCACGCGCCAACAACACGGAGTTCGGCCTGGCGTCCGGCGTGTTCACGCGCGACATCTCCAAGGCACTGTACGTGAGCGACCAGCTCGAGGCCGGCACCGTCTTCATTAACACCTACAACAAGACCGACGTGGCCGCCCCCTTTGGGGGCTTCAAGCAGTCCGGCTTTGGGAAGGACCTTGGTGAGTGGCCCGACAGGGAGAAGATGTCTTGGGTCGTTTGTAAACGGACGTCTGGTCGCATTCCAATGAAGCCTCGATCGTAACCAATCGTACATATATTATCGCTCATAGTCCACCATAAAACCGCATCCATGCAAGCCATGGCAGATGCAGATACCTGATCCACAAATGGAACATTTACAAAAGCTCTCCAGTGTGCGACTGTGGTCATCCAGAACCGACTGTACAACATAACGACGCAATTCCCAATCCACAAATATGATGGAGACATCACGGCGATACACTCCGCTGCTCCCGCTGCGGTTATCTGGCTTGACAACCTGAATGTTGCTCTGCAGCTACATCAGCTATACGAATGAAGATTATCATCATCATCAGAAGCATAAAATTTAACATCATTAATAATCATTATCCAATTAAGCATCATCCAATTAAGCATCATCATCCAGTTAAGCAACATGAATGCAAATGATGATCATTCAATTTATTTATAACTCGGAATCTAATTAATCATAACCATCCAATTAGGTACATCATTATGCCTATCTTATATATAACGCAGAAAATAATTTAACAAATATCAATCATCAAAATCATCCAATAGACAATTGGTATGATCCATTCACAGTTCTCTGCTGCATAAGTATCTCGTTGCAGGACCCTCCTGTTAAAATTTGTCATGAGACTAAGTAATTGTTTTTCTGGATTGAGGATATGATTATTATGATACAATCACGTGACCGTCCTCCTGTTCAGCCGCAAAACATGTACATACTATCTTGCAACCCAGTTTCATCGCTACAGATCGCCATTCATTCCAATGTTCCTGAACTTTTGAGGCCAGTCTGTGAAGTCAACAGAGAGACTGTCCCACCAGCCTCAGGACCTTCAATGGCGATGCGTAACACATTTTTGTTCATTCATACACAAAGATACTTGGGCATTTGTATTTTATCCCTTCGGAATGTTTAAAAAAAAAGTGTTCTCTGCCGCAGAAATTTCACTCACTTAAGTATCGATTACAATTATTTTCTCTGTTGAATTGCATGTAATTAGTTCCTGCATTCATTTATTTATTCATGACGCGCCTATTGGTGTTTTTTCCCCCCACCAGGTGAAGAAGCGCTTAACGAGTACCTTCGAACAAAGGCGGTTACTGTGGAGTACTGACCTTACCAAAACGCGACAAGGGACGTCACATTTAAAGGGAATGGAACAGTGAACTCTATGCACAAAACAAATAAGTCACGTCTGAAATTGGCATGGAGGTGGTTTTTGGGGCTGGGTGAAGAGCCTACAAGCACCTGGCGAGGCATGCCGCCCCCTGTCCAACGCGACAATTGGAGTCATCACCTTTTGTCGAGGGACTGCGTCAAAGTATCATCTCACGCTGTCAAGTCATGCCGTGCCGCCCGTGTCTGTTTGCCAAGCTTCCCGCCGGCTCTCCTTCCTTGCGGGTGGAACAAACCAACGTGTACATTTTATATTTTTTTGAAATTCCATCAGCTGTTGTATTGTCGCAGCTTGCTCTCTTTGGCCAGTCTCGTCTGTAATATTTGTGATTTTTTTTTTTTACGTGTGCCATGCTCAGTAGCTGGTTGTTTGTTGGGTTTTCGGTTCTGGGTTTTTGTTCTTGAAGAAGAAAAAAGGTCAGTGCCAGGAATTAAATTTGTTTATAAAATATAACAATTGCTAACCTAGCACTTCTCACAGCCTGGGTTCGAATGCAAAGGTTTTGCCCACCATCGCAGCTTAAGCAACAAATCAATAAAATGCTTCCACCTGCGATCTTCTCAATATTAACTCTCATCTCCGACATTAGAGCAGCCTAGACCCCGCTTGTCTATCGCAGAGAGGGGTATTCTTGGTGATGCAGTGATACTGTGGATTGAATGCCTGCAGTATGACTGCATTATAGTTTCATTGGGACGAAAATAATAAATAGACATAAATTATATCAATGCAGTCATTAATATGCATTGACAAACCGGGTCTAGCACTTTTGGCTATGTACTGTGCTAAATAAGTTCAACATACATACATAGGCTGCTCTCATCGTTGGAGGTGAGAGTGAATATTGAGTGGGTATGCAGATGGAAGGATTTATTGATTTGTTGATGAAGCTAAACTTGTCAGATTGGTATCTATGTATTATTCGATTAAAATATTGTACCTCGCTAGACTCACGATACATTAATACAAATTGGCTGTGGGAATTGAGATTTTACAATGTATGCAAATTATATGTAAATATTCAAATTATTAATTTAAGCAAACGGGGTGGAATAAATCGGTATGGATAACAAAGAACACACAATCATGCAAAGAAGCTGGTATACATGAAAGACTAATAATTATCAATTATTCAATCCAAAGGTGACTTCAAATGGTGTCGCTGGGTTAGGGTGACTGTATTGTTACATGCCCAGTTATCAGCAGGCTGCTAGTTCTCTGCACTTTGCTGACACTTTGCTGACACTTGTCTATCGAAGGTTTAATGAAGGAAGAGCGCTGAAAGGTGTTGGTCGCATATGAGGGGTCAGTGTTTTCTATTCGCGCAAGGAAAATCCTCAACGGGGACCACTCAAAAGTTCCAATGTCTCCCTTGTCATATGAGAGATGCCACACGAACCATCTCCTCTGGCCTCCCCGAACCAGTGGTGGAATTTCCTCCACTCCCACAAACAGTTGCCAGTCTCCCTCTGGGACGAATTATTGCTGTTAATTTCACGCAAAGTGGTTCTTATTTTAAAGTCCATGGAGGGATGAATCGCTGAACTCTCAAACTTTTGATTGTGAGTAAAGCATTATCAGCGCATTACTACTCGGCCAGACCAAAATGGTTGCTAAAGTTTGGTGCTAGATATATCGCTTAAATGAATGTTCCTCATTTAAAAGTAAAACACTTTGGTGCAATGCTTTAAAAAAAGGCCAAGTGGTAAACAAGTGTGTGGCTACGTCTCATCTCCGTGACCCTGCGCCAATGCTGACAATCCCACAATCCTATCCCTGTTGAGGAGTCAATGTTAACGAGGGACAGGGGGGAAGGTTCAGCCAGGGCCACTCCTCAGAGGTTGCTGGGGGCCCGGTGCAGAATTTCACGTGATGGATTCTCCTCAATTCCACATCGGCAGGGCTGTTGTGGTGCCCTATGTGCGAGTGCTGGGTACATTGCCCCTGTTTGAACCAGCCCCCCTGAGCGGCCCTGGGTTCTGCTGCGTTGTGGCATTAAACTGACGTATGTATGTAGAACGCATTTCGCACCATATGTAGCCATCGCAGGTGCGGGGGGAACGACGACAAACTAAACGAAACAAGCAGGTCTAAATAAATTAGTTTTCAATTCAGATTATTTAAAAGTGCATAACTCTAGTGGCTTCCTAATATCGGAAGGAAGAGCGTTCCAGACGGCCACAGAAGCGCGTCTGAAAGCGCGCGATGCGGTGACCGTCTTTGTTCGACGTGTCACATAAGAACAAACTCCGCAAATATGAATTGACTTGCCTCTTGCAAATAAATATAAATAACAAATAAAGTGAAAATTGTGCATCAAGGCTAATGTTGCAGAATAAATCTGCATGTCCACAGCAAGGCTGGGTTGGTCGACATTGAACAACGATCTGCAAAAACGCGACACCACAGTGGCGTGCGGCTCTTTAACGACTGGCCTCGTGACGTTATTTATTAAGGACCATCACCCGTCTCGTATTCACATTGCATCTCGGCTTTTGAAATATTGAGTTTTTTTTGTTTACCGAATTCGAACCAAAAAAAGTCTCTTTGTTATTTTGGTCGCCGACTCCCTGGGGGCATGACTCAAAACAGCCAATGTAAGCAAGTGTCGGAGCACGGCGCTTGCTCGCAGTGCCACGCTGTGCTGAATTTTGTCCGCACTCTTTCGTTGGACAATCCCACAACTGCCTGCACCCAAAATTAAGAGCTGCGATTGATTGCTCGAGCACCGACAAACTTCTTCATAATTCATACCTGTCAGCCCCTTATCAGGGCCCTACCTTATTACAGACCAATTCAGACCTCATTGGTCACCCCGTGCCCTTATAAATCTCAGCGTACATCCTACAAAGTCCCATCACAAAGGAGAAACACAAACACATGACAAAACAAACGGCTGTATGTCGTATGGACCTGAAAGACTCAATTTCCCTGTACAAGAATACGGATAAACCGTATGGGTTGACAGGTATGATAATTACTGTGTAGTAAACAAACGCTGTTATTCTAAGTGTGCATGCAATCGCTCACATGTGTACGCCTGCCTATATTTATTGTTGGCACATTTCTTCGAGTCGTAGAACATTACACAACCTAAGACCGAAAACCCAACGTATTTATGAAGTATGTTGAGATGGAGTGGTAATGAATGGTTCTTGTAGGGCAGATAATATATATACATTTAAAATGGAAACGTTTTTGAAAAAAGCAAAGCTTATGGCAAGAAAATTGTTATTTCTATCTTGTACCTTTTAGTACAGCTATGTAGCATCCCATCGATGGCACAGTATTTTAACATCAAAATAAAACAATACTTTAGTTTTAAAGTAACCCGGCGGTCCATAGTAGCATGTGTGACACCCATGAAGTGTTTCAAATGAAAATAAATTTATTTTAGCTCATACTTGCTAATGGTTTTCCCTTTCTTCACGTGCTGAGTGTGCTTTCTGGCCGTCTCGTTCACTTTTTTAAAGCTTTAAATCGAAATTTAGTCTCGTTCACTGTTCATTTCGAGCGTTGTTGGTTATTTAATCGGATTTTTTGTAACACTAGTAGGTCCATAAACAATGCACATGGACACGTGACGTTCAGAGTCTGATGGGTCCGTGTAAAAATCTAATTGCATGGGGTGTGCCCATTTCCATTGCCAACTTCTGAAGGCAAACTCGAGATGCCATGGTGACCAAAGCCACCGATGATGCCACCATACGTTACCCATTACATTACCGCTCGCTCAAACGCTTAATAAACTAACCGGTTGCAGGTGCCAGTCGCCTCTCAGGCTTGCTCATCTTGCCTTTCACGTACAGCCAGCGTCACACTCGACATCCCAGATACACCCCGAACAGCTGATCCAGAGGTGGAAATCCCACATTCTGATGGTAGAATCCAGCTCTCTACACTATTGTTGATTTCGCATAATTTATCCCCAGCTGAGATTTGTCCTCGCCACCTTCCGATTGGGAAATGAGGGCTCAGTATCACAGCACGGGGGTGGTGTGCCTATGTATGTCTCGTATACGCCATGTGCTGTATATGTACACCTCTGTGAACACCGGCGACTAATACAAGTTCTAGATTTGAAGCTTTCGTGACTGCAAGGATTCATATTCTTAGGTTTTTTCGGTAAAGACTTTACCGAAAAAACCTAAGAATATGAAGACTAATATAACAGCTGGTCCTGGGCCTCGCCTAGGTCGACTCAGCCTCAAATGAGTACATGGTGTGATGTGTAAACATCGCCACTGCGGTAGACAAAGGTGGTCGGGCGTGGTGCTGGCCACCCACCCACCCACTCGTGTACCGAGCCGACCATCATAGTTGCTCGCTAACAGCACTTGCCCCAACAGTCTGGTAAAGTTATACGGGTGTCTTTGTGTGAGCACAGATCGCCCTCTGTTGAGCAAGCAAGAGGGGCAACACTCACGCTCCACACTGTCTCTTGCGTCTTGATCACATATGTTCCCCTCAAAATGGGTCAAACAAAAACAGGTTCCATCTCTCCTCGATCTTAAACTCTGCTTCCAATTTCCTGGTTTACAGATGTCCACAAACCTCCCCTTGCTTTGTTAAAAGAGGCAAACATGTATTCAGTTATAATAAAGCGCTGTATTGGTTTATAATTGATCCTGATTTAACTCGACTGAAAAATTACTGCTTTACAAAACACAAATTTAGCCAAAGGTGAAAATTCCATTGTCATCTGGGGTGGAACACCCAGTGACTATCTCACTGGAAGTTGATCAGATTTCAACGTAAAGTAGTCCGGTTGATTGATGGTCCAGCATTCACCGATTCACTCCAGTAACTCGCTCGCCAGCGGTCAGTCACCTCCCTATGACTCTGCTATCGCTACTACCATGGATTTTGCTCCCAGGAAATTCACTCTTTGATTCCTCCACCGATGTGAAGGACTCCGTCTACTCGATTGTTTCAAGTCATCCAAACCATAATTCTAGATTTGAAGCTTTCGTGACTGCAAGGATTCATACCCTTAGGTTTTTTTCAGTAAAGTCACGTAGGTAAAAAATTATAATATAATAAAATAATTATAAATCACGACGCTTCGGAGGCAACACAAGTCTCCGTCTTCAATTGTAATTTCCACGGTCCCACCTAAAGACGGAGACTTGTGTTGCCTCCGAAACGTCGTGATTTATTATTATTTTTTTACCTATGTAACTTTACCGAATTTTTTTAGAGTATCACCCAAATCATGTTCAGAGCCCACTGCACTGCAACTCAAACCACTGCCTTTTTTTCATTGCACCGCTCGACTTTGGAATTCCATTCCACGGTCTCTTTTTTTTCTTCTCGAAGGTCGTATTTACTTTGCGAAATTCAACAAACCATAAAATCCTCATCGACCACACCGTGAAGAGTACTGTTGGTTGCTGGCCACTCGGCACTTTGGGCTTTTTGGCCTGTGCTCGGTAACCTCGATGTGAAAGTGAATTAGTGTTCTATTGAGTGTGGTATTTTTTTCTGAAAGACAACTTAAAAAATGCACAATGAAAACAGACGCGCACTTTTTGTGACATTATATTGCAGACATTAAGCATAAGGAAACTTATTTTAGAGGCGACATGTCTGTAACATCTCAAGACAATCAAGTTCTATGAGACAAAACCACTGACGAAAAAAAAAACCAGCAAGCCGAGACAATCCCTTCCGAAATCAGGCCAGCATCATTCCTACAATAACAGTAATATTAACAATGATGAAATGCTCAAGATATGTAAATACATTCAGTTCTGACGTATTTGGGAGAATTCTAGTTTGGAAGGGCAGGTGAAATGATGCGACAATCCGTAATTTTGGAAAAAAACATCGTAAAGGCATTTTCCAGTTTTATAGCGACATTCATTATAATTAACAAATTATTATTTGAGCGCTATGAACATAGACGCATGAAATAACGGCCGCCTTCAGCAGACGGTGTTGTTCCAACGCAGTTCAGAGTTCGCAACTTCATCTCACAACGAGGTTTGCTCGTGCACACGAAGGAGCTCCGGTGGTGGAAGTCAAACTGGAAAATGCCCTTCCCTTTGTCGCTCTCCGCTGCATCTGAGGGTCGCACGGCATTGTACATCATTTCAAAGCATTGTACAACATTTCAAAGAATTGGACATCATTTCAAAGCATTGTACAACATTTCAAAGATTTGTACAAACATTTCAAAGCAGCCACGACAGTACAAATGCGAAACCCGACACAGCCCGATGCTTTAAATTGTACGATATCTATGGGACCTTTTTGGCAGTATCAAAATGATGATAGAAAAAACACATAAGACTAGGCTTGATCTTTTATGTCAAATAAAACAGGTGTCAAGATGTTCAAAGACCAAATAGACGCCTATTGCAAGGCATCAAGTCTATATTAACCACACACATACAGTACTTGGGGCAAAACATGCAAACAAAGAAACAAACATGCTCCGATTATTTTTTTCCCAGATGTCCTGTGCTTTTTACCGAGTGGGTAACTTTATACCGCGGTAAACCCACTTTGATTTATTGTAATAAATTATTTTCATCATGTTTCGCGTAGCATGTTGTGGTGACTTGCACCGTCAAGGTACATTAGTTAATTCAATAAGTTGACTGTACGCCGTTTTCCAAATCCAGTTCTAATTCCTGTTTATCAAAGTGGTGGTACATTCCTGCAAGCATTTCTGTATCACTGTTCATGAGTAAACGGAGAGCATTAATTTACTCAGCAATGGTAAGGGATTAGGGCATCGTTTCGGTATGAAGTTCCTCATCAAGGACTTCGTTACATAAATACATATTTTACTGTATAATACATGATAATGAAAGTAATGAATGCCCTTAATCTGGCCTGAAGTTATTAAACAATTCCTGTTCAGAACATACACACTTTCTATAAGGTAACATATTTCTAACCACTTCCCGCCAACAACAATCTTAAATGTTGAAACCATTCCCGAGTATTACAGTGTTCCTAATGTGTGTTTTTGAATGGTCAGCAACATTTAAAAACGTATTAACAGGCAATGAAAGTGCATTCGATAACAATGCAAGCAACTTTAGGCGTTGCATTTTTACAGCGCACTGGAAGAAAAAAAGCTACGTCGTTTTAACGTGAGCAATACACAAACAAAAATCACACATTTAAGAGCCTAGTATTAGTAAGCGATACACTAAAGCGTTCAGCTGTATCCAGGGTCACAGCACTACTTTCCTGCACAGGATATATTAAAACGACATCTTTCACGTGGAACTCATTCCTCTGTTTCCAACATTGATTTGTGTGCTATACTCACTTTCTGAAAGACACTTCACAACAACCCATGTTGTAAGCACGCGTAGCCACGGCATTGCTCGATCAGATCATGCTCCCTTCCGAATAAAACAGTGGCTTAAACAGACGCCATCCGTCTACTCACTTAACCTATTTTCTTTACAGACTGCGCATGGCAATACACATAGCCGATCATATATCGTTTGAGCAAGTGGAACATTGCAAAGCTACCTACAGGAACATGTTCAGAAACAATGTACAAATCCTAAAGCGACATTTCTACTAAAATTTTACAAACACAAAAGGGTGATTAAAAAGTCCATGGGTCTGACAAAATCTGAAAACCCAGAAAAGTCCGGAGAAAATAATAATTTACATTTTATTCAGATAAATCTCGACGAAATCATATTCCAGACCTGGTTTCTCTCAGTGACATCCACGTTTCCACATTAAGTGAGTCACTTTGCATGGAAGCAATTTTCTGTCGACAATTCAGAGGACGTGTAACTGAGAGCGAATTACTTAAAAGGCAAGACAACTGGAGCCTTGGAAAAGATGGACAACTTTGAGAAGGAGCTATCCAGTAAAGTCAGTTTCATTAAGCTCACACATTGTTTCTGTGTCAGACCGCTTACTTTGTGATCACACTTTGTGTCTTCACAGACACGTGGTAATGTTAAAAAAGTATAAACGCAAGTGAAAATAAAAACTCCCACTTCGATTCTTATCAGTGTTATGCAGCATATTAAAAATCAATCTAGTCCGTGCACCGTACCCAGGTATTTATCCACAGTTAAAAACCCTACCTAAAATCATTTACTGGAAATGAGTTAAAGCAAATCCTTACATTATATACTGCATATATAGTGAGGAAATATTTTGATAGTACTGCCAAGTTAAAGGCAAATGTTGTCAGTGTGTCTGGTGTTAGACGTCTCATGAAAATGTCTTGTGAATCTTTTATGCTGCACACAAATATAATTATTAGTGACTGATATACCTGACATAAGCAAAGCTCAAACCAAACACTGGAAAAATAAACAAAAAAACAACAAAATGCAAGAATGAACAATGTCCGACAGTGGTTCTCTAAATGCAGTTATATATTTTTTTATAAAGACAGGGCAACATTTTG